CCTGGTGCGCTCAGGGCTGTACAAATGCTCTGCAGGAGACCTTCACTGGAGAGGGGGAAGGGACACACGGCAGGTCCTTACTGCAGCCAGAGGCGCAAGCCCAGCTTGTCCAGACAGGCCCGGCTGGCTTGGGCTGATCCCCGCCATGGAGGAGCTCACTGTGTGGGGGCAGCCCTGCCCTGCTCCCCGCGGAAGGGAGCCTGCTGCAACCTGCCAGGAACACGTGGCCTCCAGCGCCAGCCTGCAACAGGGGTGCTGAGCAGAGCCCAGCTCAGCCCAAGATCCGTTGGCGGCCCTGGAGAACCAGCCCCAGCCCCAGCCCCGGAGGTTGAACCACAGCGCTATAACTAGCAAACACGGAGCCATCAAATAGCAGCGTGGAGGTTCCCGGGGGAGTTTTCCCCGTGCTGCAGGGCTCCGTTGCTCCCTGCCCTTGGCTGCACCCAAAGCCGTCGAAGGGAAGACAGAGGCCCAGGCCCGGCTGCGCCAGGGGCTGTACAAACACAGGGCAAGGGGCCCATTCTCTAAGGGGGAGATAGAAGGAAACCAATGCCTTTAGGTGCGCGGGGATGGAGCTGGGAGCAGGGCAAGGGCATGGAGGCACAAGCAGGGGAGGGAACGCAGGCATCCTGCTCCCTGCCAGCAGACAAGGGGCTCCAATAAAGACCTCATTGTGCGAGGCCCCGTGTGCTCGCCCTGGCAGGAAGCGCCGGCACAGCTAGTTCCCAGCGGCTCCTGCCCAGCTCTGCCAGACCGGCTGCCAGGGGCCGAGGCCAGGCCACGCGGCCTCCGCTGATGAGCAACAGACCTGGGGGGAGGCCCTGGGGAAGATGGGCTGGATAGGACAGCCAAAGCAGATGGGTGCCAGGCGGCTGGGGCACGGTGCCATCCGCGGGGATTAACCCTTCAAGTGCTCCTAGGAAATGACCCAGGAGGCCTTTGATCATCTTACTGAATGGGTGGGAACCCAGTCGTCCTGGCAGGCAGATCCTCTGCTCCAACGGCTCTGCCATGCACGAGGCACCACAGGGCCTGGATAGGGTCCAGCAGTGGTGCTTTGCACCGCACCAGCTTGGAGAGATTACGGGCGGGTGGGGCTCCAGTCCCACATCTGCTACCACCAGCTCCTGGGGCCTTGGGCAACTCCCTTCATCTTTGCAGGGGGTCGGGATTTCCAGAGGCTCCACTTGACCCACTGAGAGGACCCAAACCAGGCCCCTTGCAGCGTGACACCAGCCTACATGTCTCAGTCCCCAGCCCTAGCATGGTGTTGCCCCCTGCATAAAGCCCTGAGGCCAGAGCCTCCGACACCTTCCTCCGATCCGGGATGGAGCCAGGAGCAACTGCCGGTCCCCTCCCGGTGCTGGGATTTGGGTCTGTGCCCTCCTGGTGGATGGGGATCATGGGGGCTCTGGCTCCACACAAGGAAGAGGGAAAGAATTTCGTCCTGGCCCCAAACAGCTGCATTCCTCCATGCCACTGTGGCCCGGATCAGCCCTGGGGTGCCCACAGCCACGCGCTTTTGGGTGGCCCAGAGCCCAGGGACAAGTGCAAACCCCAACTCAGGACCTGTTCCCAGCAGAGAACCACATTGGCTTCAATCGGAGCATTGCACTTGCCCTGTGAGATTGGCTCATCCGCCTCGTCTTATGCCTGTGCCGGACCAGGCACTGCCCCAAACCGCTCATGTGCGCTGTAGCCCAGAGAGCAGGGCTGGGGAGGAGGAGAGGGGCAGGGAGAAGAGAAAGGGAATGATGCAATTTCAGTAGCAGGACCCAGCCTGTCCTAGGAGCTTGATCAAGGGCCTTCTGCTCTTTAGCATAAAGGATTTCTACCTTCCCCTAGCATCCCTGATGGTGAACAGGACAATACATTTCATGGCCAAGCTGGGCAGACTTATTCACCATCTTCAGTTAGTTAAGATCTGGACTTTGCTATCCCTGCAGCAAAGAAGTCCCTGAATTCATAGGAATAGGTGTAAAAAAATCATTCACTCTGCCCCAGCCCAGGCTGGGTTTCTAGTTTCCCCTGGAACTTTGCCATATGCCCTCCGAGAGGGACTGGGCACCCCTGAAGGGATGATGATGGATGGGCTGAGCCGGGACATCAAACCCCCTCTGCACACAGACTGGAAAGCGAGCTGGGGAGATGTGCCCAAGGCCATGCAGCAGGTTGGTGGCAGAGCTGGGTGCTAAGCTGGAGAACCCAGGTGTCCTAAGGCTCTGGCCACTAGACCCTACTACCCCTATAGGATGGGGCTAGCAAGGCTGTCTTCCCTGCCTTTGGCTCTGTGCTTAGCACCTGCAATGCTGGATGCCCTGGAGATCTGGCTGTAGCATGGAGGGGTGAGGGGGGACACACCTGCCCTACCCTGGGGACTTGACTATGGCCTAAATTCAGATGAGAAGGACTCGGCTGCTCTGGGGTTAGCAGTTCTGCGCAAAGTGGGGGCAGGGAGGGGAGAGCTGTAACGGAAAAAGCAGCGACAGAGCAGGCATCCTTTTTAACCGCAGCCAACAAGATGCTGTGGTTTCTACCCAAGTTGGATTTCTGCAGACTCTACAGCATTATTCTTATCCTGCGGGGGAGCGGGGCATGGTTCACGCTTATGCAGGCCGTGACAATGGAAAAAAGCCATGCTGCTTGCTTTGCAGTCGCTACCAGCTGGCTCTCTGAGAAGAGGCACTCGAGCTGGGTAGATTTCCTTCCTTGAAATCAAACCCTCAAAAAGATGCTTAAAAAAAAAAAAAGAAAGAGGGAAGTTTGTGCTGGGGGGGGGGAAAGAAACCATAATTAGCTTGTGAAAAAGGATGCAACTGGAGCTTTTTAATCTTCTTAGGCTCAAATAGCTGCACACAGATATTAGCAGCTGGAAGCCGGGGGGGTGGGTGGGTATCACGTCAGAGGATTCCAGTTGCAAACAGCCGCTCAGAGGTGGAAGGTAAATCTCTCTGGCATGCATGGTCGATGAGAAGCGATGCTAAAAATTGATCCCGCCACTTGCTGGGAGGAATAGCCAGCATACCTCGGCAGGGCGCGAACTGCATTGGACACTTCCAGAAGAGTTGGCCAGCCAGAGAGCAGGTCCGCCCTTTGCTGGAGGACTCAGGCCCAGGGAATGCAATGATAGGAAGCCAGCACGGCTCAATGAGCCGCCAGCTCCACTTGCAGCGGCATTTCCTCCTCTGCAGGATTGGCCTCTGGAGGTGGGGAAAACAAAAAGCAGAGGACGATTCGGGGTCGGGATTCAGTTATCCAGCTCAAATGTGCGCCTGCTGAGCTAGCAAGGTTGGGAGCACAGCCAGGATCTAAAAGGCAGCACAGAGGAGGGTGACAGGAGCACTTTGCACTACTCAAATGCAGCAAAAAGAGCTGACAATGAAAGGCTTCCTGGCAAGCCTTTTCCCAAGCCACCAGGAAGGTGCCATTGTCCATCACTTGAGGCTTTAGAGTGGTCTCAGGCTCCCTGGACCATCCTGGGCAGCCAGCGGATGAAGGATGAGTGCATGGGGTATGAATGCACAGGGGCTCCAGAAGCTGATCTAGAATCAGGGCACAAGAGACTGAAAGGAAATAGCAGCTTGCTTGACACCGATCTAATCTGGTCATTAAAATAAGCAACGTCGGACCACTCGTAGGTTGTGGCGGCAACACGGAGCAAGAGAGAAGGGGCTGACTGATAACCAGATGTGGGCTGTTTCTGCTCAGGGACTGGAATAGCCATTGTGCTGGCCGCAGGCATCCAAAGGGAGAGGGAGGACTTCATCAGAGAGTCTTGGCATCAGGATCCAGGCTCCGCGTTTCTAATTTACTGCAGTGGACAACAGCGGGGGTGAGTCCAAGTCGGGAGTCGGTTCAATTCCAGCAATGGCCAACCACTCTCTGCCACGAATAACGCTGCTAAAATAGGAAGATGCATGGATTTTCCAGCAAACCTTTGCAAGAGGGAACTCAGTCAACCTGAGAGGCCATTTGTTTTGGCCACCGGCAATTACAGGCCTGAGTTGATGCCCACGGAAATCAATGGAAAAATGAGATCTCTGAAAGCCTGCTTGAAGGCAGCAATCACTGTGGCAGAGCAGAGCCGGCAGCATTCATTCCCGGTTCAGCTGTGCAAAGCCTTCAAGCAGCTGCTGAAACCCTCAGCTGAATTGGGACATGGGTCTTTTATTTGATCATGGACACCATCAGATGGCTGCTCTGTCTTTCTGAGTTTACACTGCCTGCTTCTGTACCAGACAAAGATCTGCTTCGCTTGCTTCCTGGACTCGGTGGTGAAACGCTGCTGTGGGTGGTTTCTGATGCTTTGGGAGAAGAATATCTATGAATTCAAAGGGCGTCTTAACAAGCGCATGAAGGGATCTGTGTAGCCAGCCTGGAAGCTTTCCTGCTAAACCTTGTAATAAGACTGAAATTTGTTACCTAAATCCAAGGGACTGGGAAGTAGAGCAGAGTCCGGTGGTACCAAGGGCCAACTAGGAGGAAATAGATTAAAGCAGATGCTTAAGAAAAAGCCAATAGCTGGAGATCATTAACTTTAGAAAAATCCAGGGGTAAGACTGGTTACTGTGGAAATCAGAGTCTCTTCCAGGAAGGGCAAGGACCTCACTATGGAGCTGAATTTTTCCTCTAGGTCACAAGAATTGATGGTGTAAAGGTTTATTTAGGAGGAAATTCCCATCCTTAAGAATGTTAGGTCTCCAAATCCCTTTGCTAGCCAATGGGGTTTGGGCACTGACCTCTCTCAAACCCTGCTGAAATTCCCAAGCTGCAAACAGAGTGTGATGGCTCTTTGCAGCTAACGTAGCTCTGGAAAGGAGAAATATACATGCACGCAATACACTGGGCGACCCTGGGCTTCCAGATCAATGGAGAAACTCCCCCCGAGACCAGCGTTTGGCTTTCTGCCCATCTTACCTTTGTGCCACACTGTGCTGGCCTAAGGGGATGCGCTACAGCACCATACTAAAAACATTTGGCGGCTTGCAATGCCGGAGTGGTGGATGGCTAAGACCGTCTTTATTAGACGTTTGTACCTGATACAGAATAACCTGAAGCCTTTAGAGGCTACTCGAATACAAAAATAAATCAAATCTCACACATGCTATTGACACACACAGCCCCGTTATGTGTTCAAGTTGAAGCTGGACAGAAACCAGCTGTAGAGTTGTTACAAATTTTCAAGCACTACATTTCTAGCAGGCTGGCTCTTTTTGTAGCTGGAGAGATTTTTATGGGGTGACAGTTCCTTTGCAGGTACAGGACCGGTCTCAACCTATTGCGCGATTAACAAGTGCAGAGTAATTCTCATTTTAAAAAATTAAAGATTTTTTTTTTTGTTGCAAAAATGTAGTTGGTCTAATAAAAGATATCACCTCTACCACAAGTCCTGATTGCTTTTGCCTCTATACCAGTAAGTCTACAACCTGGATACCAAGTAATTTTCATGCAATTCACTGGCTAATCACGCAATAAGTGGAGACCGGCCACACCTGCAGATTGGCCAAAACCACAAAGTAATTCTCATGCAATTCACTGGTGGCATCTTTGCAGGTGTGGCCAGGTTCAATTCATGGTGCGATTAACCAGTGAATTTCAGTGTGCGCGCCAGGGCCATGCACACACAAATCCCAGATCTCTCATTTCAGTAGGAAGTGGAAGAAAAGTCACACCTGCTACTCCACGGTTATTAGTTGAACTTTTTTTCTTTTTTTCCTTTTTTTATTGGTCAGTGAAATCTATGGTAGCATAACTGAAAATATACGGTGTAATAAGACTGATCACGAAGCGCCACCTAGTGTTCATTACAGCAGTGCATTTAAACTATGAGTAAAAAAGTTGCCAACCCAATATTTAAATTAAAAAAAAAAAAAAAAAAAAAAGGTTTTTTTGTCAATAAACAATTGAAGAATTAATTCAGGTCACTTCTCATATCACTAGTGAAAAGCAGAGACGTGGTAAACCTTCCTATGGAGACTCGACAGGCCTGCTAAGATCATCCGTGGCTTTAAAAGTCACTCTTATAAAAAGCAAATACTACATCTGGGTTTTGGCAGAAATCAAGTCTAGTAGGTGAAATACAACAGCGAGCCTTCTAGCCTCAACCATGCTTCCTCTGCCCCAAAGCCAGAGGGTCACCCGGGGGCAGAGGGCAGCACGATGACATGCTTGTTAATGGTTCATTAAAATATTTTAACTTCTAATAGTTTTTAAAACCCTCTAATGTAGCTTTCCAAAGCCAGGATGGTGCAGAATTAAAGGAGGCTGCACAGGAAACCCCGGTCCTAATGGCAAGCAACAGTTCTTGCAACTGCACCCCTAAGTGCACTTATACGAAGACAGCAGGATCCAGTGCCCTTTTTCTGTCTCTGAGGCTAGTCCTCGGGGAGTCTGCCGTGTGTCTTGTGCCTCGGCATCCTCTTCGCTGGCTTCTGTGTGAGATATGCACTGACCTGGACACAGAAACTCGCCTTACTGCATGGTTCCCCCCCCCACGCATACAAAAGTGGAGCATTTGGTGCTCACTTTAAATGAAAGGTGCGTCAGAGCAGAAATTGCTTGATTTGTTTTGTCGTTTTCCCTCCCAACCCACTCCCCTGTGTTTCCCCTCTCCCCCCACCCACTTTTAAAAAAATAGGTACCGTAAAATATTTAACCTCACAACAGCCATCTTCATGCTGCATGGGCGATGGATTTAAGGATGTGTACAAAAGAAGGAAAGCGGATGGTTAATATTCTTTCAATAAATAGAATTTGCATTTCATAGTCCCCCCTTTTTCCCCCCCCCTAAAAAGTTTCACCATAAAGGAAACAAAAATGACCTGAAAAAATCCTTAGCAGTTCTACAGAAAAATTCAATCAATTTTCTTGCTAGTCAATTCATTATGACGTAGTTAAGGCGGGCAGGCTTTGGAAACGGGTGTGCTCAGGGTAATAGCTGAAATTCTGTCCTTTATAGAAAAAATACTCTTCAAATATCTTTTTTCTTTTAGTGGAAACTTAATTTTGTCTGAAGTTCAATTTTTTTTCTTTTTGATTAAAAAAGCTATGAACTAGACGTAACCGCAATAGTAATTATAATAAAAAAGGGCCAGACGAGCCAATGCCAGAAGCCAACCGCAAGGTTAAGACCCTAAAGAAATCTCTTGTCTGGGTTGAACCAGAAAACAACGTGCCTTTCACCTCCTCAAATGTCCATTGCCCCCTTCACCCAACTTTAAAAGCAATTGGGTCCTGGCATGCGGCAGTCTGACCGTACGTGTTTCTCTCTCACTCGTTCAGACTCCTATCAACTATGTACAGGTTTTACATTCACACCACAGTATAGCAATCTGGGTTCAAACAAGCCTGGGAAGGGTTGACAATACAGTCAAACGTCCTTAATAAGATCATTGTCAGTGGACAGCGTGAAGCACCCAAGGAAGCTCCCTTTAAAAGAAAAAATAGAATAAAAAAATAACAGAGCAGTGACAATTTTGCTAGCACATAAGAGAGAAATGGATTTTGTTTGGAAGAGTTGACCTATTTAGTAATCTGTAGCTAGCATCCTCCCAGCTATGGTCAGGGTGGCTCTGAACAAGTGTTGTGCATACAGCTTGCTGCCAGTCTCCAAGATGAAGTTGCTTTAAAAATTAATTGCTTGGTCTAGCTTCACATTTTACCACCGAGATTGTCAGCAGTGGGCTGTGAATATGGGTCTCGCCTTCTGGGGGTCCTTTTAAGACACCTTAAAAAGGGGCCTGACATGTAGAAAGTGCTTCTGATGCTTCAGCTCCACGGTCAAAAATCACTGAGCTCTAGTGAAAGCCCAGGCTGATGCCATCAGGACAGGAGCATGTTACTACCTTGCTTGTGGGGGCTAAAAGTAGGAGCATGGGCTTTTGCTTGTTATTGGTTTGGTCCAAATGGAACAAATGGTGATGGTGGGTTGGAGCAAGCCAGAAATGGAGCTAAATCCCCTTTGGAAATACATCAATCTCGCCTTTCTCCTACTCACGACCAGGTGAAGACAGGCCCTGCCAAATACAGTCCCTTCACTCCCATCACTTGAGTGGGAGCTTAAAAAATGTCATCCTCTGCAATGCAGAGCTGCTGTTTTGGATCCGGGGAAGGAAAAAAGATGATACTCAGGTGAAACATTCTCCTACTGCACCGAAGTTGCAGGACAGTGCTTTGGCAGCAGAAAGGGCCCACAATATGGGGCTGATTGATGGTTTATCAGACTTCCAGGCAGCCGTGGATGCGCAAAGGGGCTGCAGGGTTTATCTGCATGGAAAACAGCACTGGTTCAATGAAAGGCGCAGCTTAAATCAATGCAGTTAAATGAGGCAGGCTGACAGAACACCCCTGAACCCAACAGGCAGCTGGCCTGTATCCGTGCAGCCAAAGCTGAGAAGGAAAGAGGTGAAAACTCAACTGAAACATGGCTTTCAAACCCAAATCAGGATGTCTAAAAGGGGGTTAGCACCATATGAGCTAAGGCCTTTTCAGTGCAAAGATACACACCTGCTTAACACTTCAATTTAGCCAAGCCATGACAAACCCAGAGTTGCCGTTTGTTCCGGCTGAGCTTAGTCTAACAGCGCCTCATGGTTCAAACCCACCTTTAGATAAACCCATGCCGCTTTCTCTTGCGGACAAGACCATGTTTTAAAAACACCCTTACGTTAAACTGGTAAAACATGGGTGTTCAGATAAAGATTTAGCATTTTAGTGAAAAAAAGGCTCTAGGAGATGTTCCAGTGTAAGTACACTTTCACCTGCTCAGTGAAAAGCAGGCAGGCTTCAAATGGCATCTCCTTGCATAGTCACTTCTCTGAAGAGCAACAAAGGGAACGTTGCATTTTGCATTGTCCAGGACCATTTCCGTATTTAACTTCCACATGGAGAATGGTTTTGCAGTGCTCCATAAAAGCCTGGAAGGATGGAGCATTCTAGCCTGGGATAGATGGTTAAAACAAATAAAAGAAAAAACCTGTGCAAAGTTAGGTCCACCACAAACACTTCCTTTGAGTATGATTCTTGTTTGTCCAGGCTCTTGCTGCAGAGATTGGGAAGGGGAAGAAGGAAGGAAAAATTGCAGACCACAAAGTGTGTTTAACTTATGTAACAATTAGGGGGTTTGTTTTGGGGTGGTTTGGTTTTTTCAATAGTGCGGCCTTCAGACCCGTGATCAAAAATATCTTTGTTACCCATCGTTTCAAAGTCAGCACTGGGTTCAGAGAACTGGAGCCAAGTTCATCATATTCGACAAAACAGAGGTAGTCTGGAAGTTACTTGATCAAGTACAAAACTGCGCGTGCACGTCTGCGTGCGTGTGTTTGTATGTGTATGCGTATCCATGTACCTGGTTGTCTGTCTGCGTCTGTCTATCTACACACACACACACACACACACACACTTCTGAAGCTAGCAGCAAACCGGGAGAGGGCTGTCGTTTCCAATGCTGCAGGGCGCTTGGCCGGTCTCTTCTGCTTCTCCACACCAATGGTTATTGCTGATGGAGGCACTGACCCGATTTCTGGGCTGATTCTTAGTAAGTCGGTTTGACTGTATCACTGACAGAACGGCTATGCACAGTACTTCTGTAAGAAAACCCACACACCCAAGATTGCTTCCCCTGCCCCACCCCTGACACCCTCCCTCCAAAACCCCTCCCCTCAAAAAAGGTTTAAAAATAAAATCTTAAAAATATAGTCAAGCCCATCTGAAGAGTACAGCCCTGACCCTGCTGCTAGGAGGTGTGCTCAGAAGACATCCAGTGAGAGTGATCTAGAAGACTGGGGCTTGGCAGGACCCCAGGAAGTTAAAGGGAGCAGGAAAACTAGTCCATTTCCAACTTGAAATTCCTCTTAGTACCAGCAAAGACTAAAAATAAAACCAGTGTTAAAATCTCTTAATAAAAAGGTCCATGATTTAAACTGAAATTGCTGGGCTGTTTTTTGTGGGTTTTTTGCTAACTCTGCTGGAGAAGAAAGAGAAAGAAAAAAAAAAAATGAAGCTGTTTTAAATTAGGTTAAGTTGGAATCCAACAGAATAGGACCCCAGGCAGGATAACTCTCCACGCGCCTTAACTTGAAAGCTTTGGTCTGGTTTATTTGATCGGGTAAGAACCTGGCGTCTCTCCCCACGGGGGGAGCCCTACAGGGGCTGCTATCTTAGCTCCCCTTTCACCAGAAGAAGCCTGTTTGATAGCATCTCTCTTGCTCTTTCAGTCTCCTGGGAAGGAAGGGTTGTCTCTTCTTTTTTTTTTTTTTCACCCCCTCGCCTCCTTTTCAAATGGACTGCCACTATACACACAATAGCACAATCACATTTGCCGCTCCCCTCCCACCCCCCGTCCGGTCAAGAGGGAGGAAGAAAGAGGAGCATGGAAAGAATTATTATTGCATTCCCCATACTTCATGGGTCCAAGACGTGAACATGAGGCCAAGCCCTCAGAACCGGTGTATTAGTGCTTCTCGTTCCCTTTCTTTGCGTTTCAGCTCCTCTCGGTAACAGCAGGAGCAGAAATTCCCGGTTTCCGGATGCCCATAAAAACTGCAGTTTGGTTGCTTGCATTTGGTCTGTTGAACGCCATAAAGCCCACAGCCTCTGCTTTTGTCCGTGGCTGCTCCCTTCTGCAAGCTATCCTGCTCTACGTATTCCCTGTAGCCGTTGCTGTGGGGGGCGCCACAGGGAGGGCTGTCGCACTCGACGGGGTAATTGAGGGGTATGTCCATCTCGGTAGGGGAGAACGTCCCCAGGTGGGAAGGGCTGGTTTGGTACGGGTGAGGCCGCCCCTGAGTGCAATGTCTGGGTAAGGTCGCGTACGCGGGGAGGCTGCTGCAGGACCCCCCTGCTACCTGCCTTCTGGCGTCTTGATAGCTGGGTGGGTGGGAGCCGTCCGTGCTGCTCACCACAGAGGGCCTGGGAATGGTGAAGACCCCGGAGTAACTGGAAGGAAACGCTGTCATCCTGGCTCCCCCCATGGCCAGCTCTGGGGCCTGGAGGCTGTACGTGGGGGGCAGCTGGGAGTAGGCTGGGTTCAGCATCATGTCCTCCCCCTTGTGAGGATTTGCCCCGTCGGGCTCCATCTTTTTGGAGGCCCCGTTGCTGCCCAGTGCCTTCTTCTCCGCCTCCTTTTGCTGTTGCTCTGCCTCAGCGTCCAGGAGGTACCTCTGGATCATCTCCTCCTGGTATTGGTGCCGGTGGCTGGTCTTGAGGTGGCCAGCAAAGATGAATTTGCGCTCACCTTGCATGGCAGCCCGCAGGATGTTCAGGCTCAGCTTGACCTCCTGACTGTATTTGCAGGCATCTGTCTGTTTCTCGCTGGCTGCTTTCCCTGGACAGGTCTTCTCTACAGGTGATGACAAGTCCCCTTGGGAGGACTCCTCCTTGCTGCCCTTCCGTGACTTCAAAGAGCCTTTCTTCTTCTTTTCCAAGGTATCACCCTGCCCATTGCTCACTCCACCTTTGATGGCTTTGCCATGCATCAGGCCACCCATGTTCTTCTTGAGCTTGCTGCCCAAGGTCTTGCCGAAGCTGCCGAGTTTATTGGCCACCGAGTCCGCCCGCTTCTTGTCCTTCTCCTTATCCCGCTCTTTCTTAAGCTTCTCTTTCTCCTTGTCCTTGCTGCCCTTGCTGCCCCCATTGCTCGTGGAGCTGCTGCACACCGACTCTTTGTCTGACTCGCCTGACTCTGGGGCAGAACGGGCATCATCACCGGCAGAGGCCGTGGGGGATTCGGGCTGGGCAAGGGGTGCCTGAAGAGGAAAGAGACAATGCATGAGAAGGCCGCTGGCTCAGCAATGTGTAGGAAAAGATCTAGCAAGCTTATTGAGCACCCAGGGTGATGGTGGGGTGGGATTCTGACCATGGCAGGGAGTGGGAAGTCTTACCTACCCAGGTTCTCTGCAAAGTGAAGGTGGCTGATACTGCTGTCACTGCTGTAGCAGCAGCCCCATAGCATGGGCTCCCCTCCCCACCATATGCTACTGGATGCAGGGGCCATGCCTCCTCTGGCAAAGCCTCTGGGTTGGAGGGATTGTGGGGGGAGGACCATTCATTCTACTTATCCCACTTGCCCCCCAACCCCAGGGCACAGCTGCCTCTGCCATGGCAAAAACTCCCAGGGCGGGGGGTGGGATTCTGACACCCTCCCCCCATTGCTGATGCCCTGCTCACCCTTCCTACGATGTGCAGGTGCTAAACCAGAGGTGACAGGCACACAACTAACTCCCTGTCAGGAGATGAAGAGGAGCGTGCTGCTTTGCAAGGTTGCACAGCCTTCCTGCATAACCCCACCCAGTAAGTCAAATCTGAGCCACTGGACAGGAGGGCTGTGACATGCCTTGTTTGGAGGGTACCTGCACGTTTGCCCCCAGAGGTACATTCACATTGTAAGTGTGACTACTGGGCTGTTCTACTGGAGAGGGAGGGAATTAATGGTTTTTCAAGGACTTCCACTCCAAGACAACTCCGAAGCCAGCTCCAGATGCCTCCTGGAAATAGCCACAACTAATAGCCTGCCTAGGAAAGGTCACCCTGGACGCAGAGGGGGGATGAAGAACAGCCGTGTGAATACTGAGGCTCTGTTGTCAAGACTATAATTGAGAAGCCACCAGAAAGTTACTGGAGCTGAGGGCTGCAGCCCATTTCACTAGGGGTCACTGTACCACAATGATTCATGAGCGACGTTTGCTTGTACTGGGGCAGGGTGTTTCACGACAGGCTGAAATTCAGGCAGGCCAAGCAGTGTAAACAACCCGCGAAAGCCAGGAGGGATATTTAAAGGAGAGCACTGAGTCGGGGTCACTCGTGCCCGTCTGCACAGAGCATACATTGGCGGCATCTACTCCAGTTCTTGGAAGGGATTCAAACAGAAGCTTGGCAGTTTGCACAGGCATTTAGAAGCACAACTAGGTCCTAAATTACCAGAGCTACAACTTCCTTTAAATAATAATAATAATAAAAAAAGAGAGAGAGAGAGGGAGATAGTTTCTATGAGCCTGGCAGAATTTAAACCATATTTAAACTGTTAAGACAGCTACCACGATTTGGCAGGGGGACAGCAGGGAGCTTTCTGAAATATTCAGAAGGCTACAAATGAGCCCTTAAAATAACAGGCCCTTGGCAAAGAGTTTAGCTGACTCATCTTCTCTGCTACCCTGAGTCAGTCTCCGGTGACTGTAAACCAAGAGTCCAGTGGAGTATGGGTTAGACTGAGATTTGTCAGGTCCAGAAGGCATTGTGTAGCAGGCTGCATTAATGGTCCTTTGTGTTTACATGGAGGGCTCAAGCAACAGAATAGTATGCCCTACTACCCCGCTGTACAGATGCGTGCCATTTCCCTCATCTTGCTGATGAAAGCTGTGCCTTCTAATAGGAGCCTATAGAAACCAACATGAAAGGAAGCGACACAAGTCGTCCCCTCCCCCAGCTCTCCAAGGATAGAGGATTTTGTTTCTTTACCTGCATTTCGCAGGACAGGGTGATCCACTTCACATTCATGTAGCTGTGCAGCAGGTGGAGCTTAGCTTCCAATGACAACGCCACACTAGAGAAAGGCAGGAAAGAAACCACACAAGAGCGTTTCAGTGACGGCAGTACTCTGCATCCAGCAACGTCATTGCCTTTTCTCTTCTGCTAACACAGGCTTGCTTCTGTCTAACCTAATAACTGACTCAAAACCCTGTTTTTAAGTGGAACTGAACTTATAGGTCACCGGTAAAAGGGACAGTTGGGTTAATTTTAGCCCCTCAAATATCTTGTGTGGAGGCAATTTCTCAAGATGGTTTTATTCGGTTTTTGTTTTGTAAAAAATATTTCCATTTAAAATGCTTCCTTAGCCTGACGAAGGGTTTTTGAACCCGAAAGCTTGCTTAATAACTATTCTCCAACCATTTGGGTTGGTCTAATAAAAGATATCAAATTCACCCAAGGAACCTTGTCTGCCTTCTGTTTAAATTAGAATTCTTCTGGCAGAGACAGAACAAGGAGCAATGGTCACAAGTTGCAGCAAGGGAAGCTCAGGTCAGATATTAGGAAAAACTCTCTCACAAGAAGAGTAGCAAAGCACTAGAACAGGTTACCCAGAGAGGTGATGGAGTCTCCATCCTTGCAGGTTTTTAAGACACAGGCTGGACAAAGCCTTGGCTGGGATGATGTAGCTGCGGATGATCCTGCTTTGAGCAGGGGGGTCAGACTAGATGTGACCCCTGAGGTCCCTTCCCACCCTCATTTTCTATTATTTTGACGTGCCAAACACATCAGCAGCATTGCTGCAACTAGAAAAGAACCAGGGGAGGGGAAACCAGCTAAACATTAACAAAACCGTTTTATTCTTAATAATATAAAGGTCCATTATTTGAGAAGGTTTGAGCGGTTTTGCATTCTTCAAAAAGGAGTTTGTTTTTAAAAAACATTTGGAGATTTTTAGTATGTAGAAATTCTACATCACGCAAAGTGAACATAGAAAGAGAATGTGCCAGAAGACAAAAAGAAGTGCTAAATACAAGCCACAATCACATCGAGTAATTTAAAGCTGGAAAAGTGAAATTGTTGCATGCACCTGCTGAGTACTGATTTTTTTGTTGTTTGGTCAGTGTCCCTTTAAAAGCAGTGGCACCACGATAAATCTACTCATCTGTGATGCAACAGTCTGAGGACACTGATATATGGTAATGGTCCAGCCAAGACAGGAGGGGGAGTTGCTTTCTTTTTTGGCAGGGTATAAATCCCTATGAAAATAACAAGTCACCTGTGAAATCCTGAACCATCAGGCACTAGATGACATCAAGCATAAAAATGCACAGTTAATGAACAGGTATACCAGGCCATCAGCTATTCAAGAAGATCCCATTTTTTAAACTGGCTGAAGATGTTAAGAACACCTGACTGGGCTAATTTACTGGGTATTAAAAGTGTGGAAGATTAAAATTTATCCTAGAGAAGCGTCTTTAAAAATAAATCTATTTGAAGTTCTGGAACTGCATAAAAATATATCAAGGCAAGTTAATCTTCTGGCAGTACGGACACAAAGACTGCACTGTAGAAGGTCACCAAGGCCCTCCATGAGATCCTTTTAAATCACAGAAAATTTAAAATACGATGTTACCACGTGAGCACAGTGGCCAAATTCCAAAGATATTTTTCTGCGTTAGTTTGGAGTTACAAGATTACTGGAGGAATTAAAGATTTGAGGTTGTTTGTACATGTGATCCCTAAAGAATGAAGAAGCAGATGTCATACAAGAATCTAAATACAGCTTGTCTGCAAATGGTGTTCTCTTTTCCAAGAAAAATGATTTTCATCAAAAAAAGCCTCAAAGATGTTTATAACAAAAGCCGTCTTCATAACATTTTCCATTAGGTCAAAAACGTTGTTTTCAACTGCACCCACAATGAGGTTGTAGATCAAGAGGTGACAGGAAAGAGAAAAATATGTACTGCTCACTGTAATACCTCTGTAGCTGTATCTACATAAAATACTTTAAATCTTAGCTCTCTCTACAACTTGTACCCCTACAGTCTTACAAACAAAAGGATAAGAGCATCCAACGTTTGGTTGCTACCATCCAGGAAGTATTTTTTAACTCCCGGGGCAATAACATGAAGTTGGATCTAGGAATGGAAAATATTACGTGTCTTGCCCCAAATCAGCACTGAAGCTAGGGAGAAAGCTTGGGGACCACATTCCCAGCCCTGTTATCTCACAGATGCCCCATCCCCTCTTAGCACAATGTGACCCCTCACCATTTATTCAGTGGGTGAATCTGTACCAAAGCTGCTTCTACATAAGCTGCTGCAATCCACCAATATGACACACACAGTAGGTTTGAATAAGCTAATCAAGGAAAAAACCTGCTTCATCTCTATTGATCTTCACACCAAACATAAATGAGTCACGATGCTAAAAATTAGCAGTCCTAGTTATTAGGTGAAGATAAACTGATCAGCTGCCCAACTGCGGCTGCTCTTGCTACCCAGCTGAGAGCTCACCTTGCGAGTTTGACGTTGTCGTTGTCATCTTTGTCCCATTCCCAGTCCTTCCCTGGATCTACAGCAAAGTGCACGGGCAGCAGCTTGTGTTCAGAGTCCGTCAGTGGGATCACAGCTGGGATGGAATGATACAGTTTGGTCAGAGCATGGAAGAACAGACGTCTGAGCAAGATGTGTGCATGTGGATAAAGGTGGTGCGGAACAGAAGGAGCCAGCCACAGTCTAGGACTCCCATGCTGATGGATCACCATCAGCAGAGAGAGGGGCTCAGTCTCCGTTTCAGCCCTTGGCTGACACTACCAAGAAGGGTGTCTGTTTTGATAGCAGCTCATGGGGCACCAAGTTATATGCAATCACTGGCACTTCCAATGCATCTCATACCAGTTGCCTTGTGACTTAAAATTCACCAGCTGGATTCTAACATGTACCTTGGTCTTTTGTAGGTTCCTTCTGCTCCATGGACACCAGTGCAGAAAAATGGGCCTGATCATAAGCCAGTACCAGTGGTGATCGATGACATCTGTTGGCAGGAACTTCTAGGGGCAGGTAGATGCCACCAAAGGGGATCGGAGCAAATGCTGGGGAAAAAGGATTTGTGAAGCATTATTTTTTCATATAAGGCTATAAAAGAACTGTCCTTACTGGAAACTCAGCCAGGAAACAAGCTTGTTTGACCCTTTACATTTGAGAGCAGGGGGGGCTAGACCCAATGATCTCACAAGGTCCCTTCCAGCCCTAAACTTCTGTAAATCTGTGATGAGCCTAAACTCATTTGTAGGAGACATGGACACAACCTTTTATGTTTAACTAGAGGCCCACAGCTGCAGAATTAAACCTTATTATCTATACACACCTCCTTTCCTTCTGCACTGTTTGCAATGCGTGCAGCTAGTAATTGATTCATCTCTTCTGACAGGAAATCAGAAGTCTGCTAGTGGAAAATGATGTTCGGAGGCAGTGGAATTTCCCCTGTCTGCATATGAGAGCGTGGGGGCACGGGATTTGGAAAACAGAACATCAAGTCTAGTCTGCCCCAGTACCTTCTTTGAAGCTTGGTATAATGAAGGGGTCTAGTGGCATGAAACCTCACAGCTTCCATGCAAACCAAAACCGGATTGGGTTTGAAGACCTGAGCCAGAGTGCTACAACCCAGAGGAAGTGCGATGCGTCTCTGCTCCTGAACAATACTAAGGCTCAAAGAGCTGCTGGGAAACTCAGCTGTACTCAAAGCAAAGCCCCTCTGCAGTGGAGTGAAGGGGGCTGCGGGACTGTCAGGACCTACCTTCTCCCCCGGAGTCTCGCAGCATCGTGTCTGCCACTACCACAATGGGCCTCTTCAGCACGTGAGCAAGGACAAAGACGTGGAACTCCTCCAGGCTCTCGTATACCGGCTCCTCAGAGCTTTCAACACTTGGGAATGAGCAACGAGAAATGTGATCAGCCCTTGGCTTCTTGCATATTTAATCATCAGCTTTAAAACGGACTAGGAACAAAGTCTATATATGGGCCCAAGTAGAAATAGCTCATGTGAAGAGTGGAATCAGAGAGGGGGCAAAAGCTGTTAGTTGATCTTCGAGATGGTCTGGATCCTGACTAGATCTATACAAAAATGGCCCACTGTCCAATAGTTGGCATTTCTATAGAGTGTTTCCTCCTAAAGCTCTCAGAGTGGTGTGTACTGGTGAATACCAACCCATTTCACAGAGAGCAAGACGGAGGCAGAAAGCCAATCCCTTAAATTAACTGTGCTACCATGTCAAATGGGTTGCATTGCTGATCCATGCCCTTGATACAGATAGCAAGAACGTGGAACATGAAAGCTTGGGGGTGCTGTAGTGCTCAGCTGAAGCCCCACTGAGGATGAAAGCAGAGAAGGTTAAATCCAAGCCCCAAAACTGAGGCCAACGGATGTTCCCTTTAAACCAGAGATAACATCTTAGCTGTGTTCTCTAATGCCCCATGCTTACTGCAAACACACAGCCAACCAGGATTTCACAGGAGTCTCTGCAGGGACATATTAATCCCTCAGGAACACAAATACAGAGGAGATTAAATTTCTTTCATCTTTATTGTTAACTTGGCATTTGGCTATTTTTACTTCTGTTTCTGCCATCTGGCTGAGAGTCAGATGACAAGTGGTCCAAACATTAGAAGGCATCGAGTAGTTAATTTGGGTCTGGCTTTATGAGGAAGGAAGAATATGTAACACTGAGCTCAGACTCTTCCATGATAGGAGCATGTTGGAGAGAGACAAACTGGCAGCTGGATCCAGACTGCAGACAGAGATTTGGCTGCAGCGGCACTAAAGTCCAGGATCAGGTGTTAGGCAATTTACACAAGGAAAAGATGACCCATTGCCCCAGATAATTTACAGGGTGAGTCATGTAGACTCTCTGACTATCTTGGACCTTGAGTATAGCCCCACTCCTCAGCAATTACCCACAAACTGTGTATTGATTAGTGAGATCACCGAATTATGTTGTTCTTGACCTGGGAGACCTTGGACACAAAGGCACCTCAGATGAAAGGCTACTGAGCTATGCCTGTGAGCCACCTAACTTGTCAGGGACACCTGCTGGCTTTTCACAGCCGTCTTCCACTCACCCTCCACAGTTGCTTCCGTTTGTACCATAGTGCATACGGGGCTCACTCGATGCAAGCTTGATTAGCTCATTCCACTCCTTCTGCCACTCCTCTTCTGTGTAAACAAGACCAGACTGAAAAAACAGAAGCACAGAATATGGGTTTACCACGAGCAGACTGGTTCCATTCCTCCTGGCATCAACTTCTCTACAGAACAGAGCCAAGACTGCCAATACCTTCCACATAAACAAGTCTGCAGTGATCTGATCTGGAAAGAGTGACCAAGACAGAATCTAGACTTAGAAACAGATTGCGTTGATCAGAAAAAACACATTTCTATCTGCTGGAGGCAAATGTTTAAAGCCAGAGTGTTTGAATACCTGAAATTACACCAAAGGCATCTTGATCCCAAACACTGCCTAATGTACTGAGAAAGTAGCAGAAAATTATAACTGGATTAGCAGAGTTAGGTTTTGTTTTAGAAAGCAATTTATTTTCCCTCCTGACTGAACAGCAAGAAAACTGTCTAAAACTGCCTCTATGAGGTCTGCATCCTTCATGGCTTTTAAGCCTTCCAAAAAAATTAAGAGATGCACAATATAGAAAAGACAGATTTTTTAAGTGAAAAAGGGGAAGATGTTCAGCTGTTACTGAGTCTTCTGTATGTTGCACATTAATTAACAGACAAGTTTCTTTGCCCGATAGCTTGCTAAGAAGAATTTTTCCAACTATTTGAGTTGGTCTAATAAAAGATATCAGATTTACCCAAAGAACCTTGTCTACCTATGTCCTTAGACCAACATGGCAACAACCTACACCCTGGCACCTTAATTAAACTACCTATACTCTCAGATATGCTTTTGCTTCGGTCTACACATCACGCATACATTTCATACACATTTCAGACACACTGATGTAGAGAGATGGTTGTGATCACTTATTGGCACCTCGTATTACATCATGCATCTCCATTCCCGTTGGGATGATCCTGCTATATCTTGGCTAAGCATAAAATGAGAGAAAGGTCCAATCTCTGCCCTGAGGAGCTGATGAGGTGAGTCAAGAACTGGCCAACAGCATGACACACACGCCACCTCTGGTAGACTAAAACTAGCCTTACAAAAGTATTTGCTTCAGTAACTCACAGCTGGATGATAAGAAATTATGCCCCATCCTCTTACCATAAGATCTTCAGTGAACAACTAACATGCCCATGAAGAAGGGCAAGGAAAGGTAAAGTGTCAGAAACTCTCACTCAACCAAAAAGATCACAAAAGATGTTATTAAACCTGAGTCTGAACTCCAACATACCAAGCCTGGCTTGGTGGGTGTGTGGAAAGATGCTGTGCCCTGAACTTCCCATGATGCTACCTTGCGATTCTAATGAATCTGCAAATTCAGCTAAATACCTGTCATCAATAATCTCAGACAGGACATGAGAAGTAGCAGTGAGGTGGTAACCTAGAAGAATGGGGCTATTGCCAACATGGACTATGTCACCCCAATCTAAGTGGGTACAGAAAGAAAGGGGAGTATCATGTTGCGTAGCCCTGCACAAACCATGTACAATGCACATCTCCCCAGGGGTCTCTGCCAGGGGGAGAGAACTTGGAAGTACAGTAACTTGGACAACCTGACTCCCAATTCACAAGCTGCCAATTCATCAGCATCATCTAATATTTATTAATTCATAGATGTTAGGGTCGGAAGGGACCCAAGTAGATCATCGAGTCTGACCCCCTGCCCTGGGCAGGAAAGAGCACTGGGGTTCGATGACCCCAGCCAGGTGCATGTCCAGCCCCCTTTCAAAGACCCCAGGGTAGGGGAGAGCACCACCTCCCTTGGAAGCCCATTCCAGAGCCTGGCAACCCCTACCATAAAGAAGTTCTTCCTGATGCCCAACCTAAATCTGCTCTCTGTCAGTTTGTAGCCGTTGTTCCTAGTTACTCCAAGGGGTGCTCTGGTAAACAGAGCATCTCCTATCCCATGCTGCTCCTCCCTGATGAATTTGTAGGCGGCCACAAGATCACCTCTCAGCCTTCTCTTGCGGAGGCTGAAGAGATCCAGGTCCCTCAATGTTTCCTTGTAAGACTTTGCCTGCAGGCTCCTAACCATATGAGTGGCCCTCCTCTGAACCCTCTCAAGGTTGTCCACATCCCTCCTGAAGTACGGCGCCCAAAACTGGACGCAGCACTCCAACTGCAGCCTAACCAATGCCGCATAGAGGGGAAGTTTCACCTCCCTGGACCTGTTCGTCATGCACTTGCTAATGCATGATAAAGTGAGGTTAGCTTTACTGATTGCTTCATCACATTGATGACTCACATTCATCTTAGTGTCAACAATGACTCCGAGATCCCTTTCTGCTGCTGTGCTGCTAAGAAGGTCATCCCCCAGCTTGTAAGTGTGCTGGTGATTCCTTCTCCCTAGGTGCAGCACTTTGCACTTGTCTTTGTTGAACTGCATCCTATTCTGTTCTGCCCACTTTTCCAATCTGTCCAGATCCACTTGGATTTGTTCCCTACCCTCTAGCGTGTTAACTTTACCCCTTAATTTGGTACCATCTGCGAATTTGGACAGAGTGCTTTCCACACCCTCATCCAAGCCACTTTGTTATTCAATCTGGTTCCTCCATGTACACTTAAATTAAGCCATGCTTCTTTGGAGGACACCACAGCTGTTTATTCTCTCACACTACACTCCTCAAGAATGTTACATGCTTGCTTGACCTGCCTTTTGAATTGTAACTCATGCATCCAAGCAAATTCTGGTGGGAACATGCTCTGAACTCTGAAATGCTTGTGTCAGACGCCAGGTCAAGACCCAGACAGATCTTCCAACACAGAAGGGAGAAGCACTGGCTTGCCCTGTTTGTACAGTGTTTAAAAGGTCTTTAAGACATACAAGATAGTCATGCTTCCTGGGCATGAGATAGAGCTCAGACAAGGAAGATCAATGATGTGCCAAGGCCCAGAATTTCAACATCAGTGCAAAGACCATTTGGATTTTTAAATACCCTGTTTTAACAAGGAAGGATCCCTCTTCTTCTAAGCTGCCCAAATAACAATCTCATCCTCCATCTGAGAGCTAAATAGTATATAAAGCAGCACCCAGTGAGGGATGGAAACAGAAACTCTCCCCATCCCGAAGAGAAAGGGGCTGCAATTGCTATGCAAGGACATCTGGTAATTTTCCACCTTGCTGTCTTGGGCTAGTGTCACAACTTAATGGGAGTTTAATGTGGAGGAAGTGTGAATACCCTTTCTTAGTGACGTGGCCTGTGCCCTGCTTGGGGCTGAGACATCTCTCTCTTGGTCTTAACAGCAGTCAGATGCAATTCTTGTCTCTAAAATAAACATGCAATCGTCACATCCTGTCACCTCCAGACAGCGCAGATGCAAACAGGAGGGACTGCATCAGGGAACAGTTATTAGCATTGTGTTACCACCTTCACACAGCAGCTTGTATAGGCCTCTAGTGTGCAGCAAGGAGTCCCTGCCCAACGCAGCTTCCACCACATAAAAGCCTCTTCTCTAATGCTTCAAGCCCATCCCTGTAACAGACAGCTGTCTCTCTAGGAGTTGCTTACCTCCTTGTTCTGCTGTGTTTGCTGCCATCGCCACCGCCGCTTCAGGGCTTCCCTTTCCACACCTTTGTCCATTAAGGTATAAAGGGATTTGCGAAGCATGAGATCCCGATCGTGGAAACCCCACATGCCTACACGGAGGAGAGAAAAAAAGGTAGAGTATTAACAGTAGCTGGCATTTCTCCAGCCTCTGCTTTCTAAAGATCACACATGAAAAGCCTTATAATTACCATATAAAACAAGGAAGTAACCACATCTTACTGATTGGGAGCTGAGGCTGGTAAATGATCTAACATGAGCAAAGACATCCAGGGAGCAAAACTGCAGAATCCTCAGCTCCCAGCTTACCCAATCATGCTGCAGCCTGCCCCAAACAGGATTTTTATATAGCAAAAAAATATGGGAGGAAGGCACAACTGCTTCAGAGCTGGCGTTTGTTCTTTAAAAAAGTCTTCTTAGCATGGATACACAAAGCATACAGGAGCTTTATATCAGATGTATACAGATCAGCCTAGATAATGAGATACAGGAGACAGGCTGGCTTCCCAGCTCTCAGGAAACCAGCCGCAAGGAGGAAATATACCACTTCTGTTCACTTAAAATCTCAGATGCCTCAGAGCGTTTACTGTGGCGACGCTTAAACTGAGGAGGTCCCTGGGGAACTTGGGCACTTAAAGCAGTTCGAGTCTGGAAAGCGGTGCCCAAACATTAGATGCGTGGTCAGCTCTGCTCTCTCTCTTATGTCTTTACAAATATAGCGAGAGGAAAGGGCAGCAGCTCAAGGCAGTGAGTGGCATGTCCAGATTTCTAGTAACCCGGATACTTATGTAGCCCCATCATTGCAGCATCTCACAGCTGTGTGTTGACTTATCTACCCTGCGATGCCCCGTTTGAAGAGACCTTGCCGAGATGAAACCTGCAGAGGGGATGGAACTTAACCCAATTTCTTCCAGTCCGGACTCAAATTCTTAACCATGAACTAGATCATCCTTCCTCTTACAGCGAATGAAAAAAACCCAACAGATGAGGTACCAGGATACCCAAAAGCTTGCCTATATCTATACCAACCATACAGCTGGTCCAATAAAAGATGTCACTTACAAAAATTCTTGCTTCTCAAAAATAGATGAGCCTATTTATACGATTACTCAGCACTGGAGTTCTTTGAAGCCTGGCAATATGTGCTTTGAGAAGCTTTTCACAATTTCGCCTGCCTTTATCCATGCTCTCTCCCATACCACCCTAACCCTAATAAGACCCACCATTTCAAAATCTGCTTGCTGCCATGACCTTGCAGCTCATTAGTCCCCAGGAAGCTACAAATTCCTAGTGACCGACTCGCACGTTGACAGAGAGGCCTTCCACTGCATATTTCTGCAAGCCTCAGTGGAGGGGGTTGCTTATATTGTGCGTGTCATGGCTGTGCAATCTTATCCTGAGCTTTGCGTCTAGCAGCAAAGGCAATTAAATAAAGATTCTGCGCTGTATGATTTTTCTGCAAGACGGAAAGAAGCCCGAGCTGTATTATTCCAGCATAAAATTATCTTTGCCTAAGCAGTGCCAAGGATGGTTGCTTGCCACATTTTCACAGCAGGAGAGCCTATTTCTCCTCCATACAGTTTCCTTTCAGAAATCCATAGCTAAAAATACACGCGTTTGGAGGGGAAAGAAAAGAAGGAGCTGTGGATTTCAGCCTACTGAAACATAATGGGACTCAGGCACAGTGGGAAAGTGCTACGTGCTCGAAAATAAGGTCAGGGATTGTCTCATTCAAGTGGGGAGAGTTGGCACGCAAGGGAATTTATTCATTCTGCTTCCAGGACAGGCCATCACAGAAGTGCTGGTAGGCAGAGCCATCCCTGCCTCTCTCAGCTGCCTCCTCAGTCTCACTTCCAAGGCTGCACATTACAAGGCAGGGCCTAGTGCTTTCAAGATCAGAGACAGCAAATATTGTGTACAGGGCTGGAAGGAAGGACCAGGAAGAGGCACGTTTGGAAGAAGCAGGCAGGAATAAGAACCAGATCACTGTCTCATTCCTTGCTATTATTCCCCCCCACCACACCATCTTACCTAGCGAGGCGGCATGAAGCAGGCAGTTCCCATCCCCTGTAGTGGCCAGAGGAAGTAGCCGTTGGCAGCTGGGGTCAACGTTCACCCACCAGTTCAGGCGACCTGTGGGAGTATTTCAGGGGAGAGAAGAGACCGGTCATGAATGTGTGGCAGTTACAGGAAAACTGATGGTCATCTGCTCAACAGGAATAGGGGGAATGGGCTGGGATTCAGTCCAGGAGCCTGCTCTGAGCATAACCACACGATCGCTTTCTGCTTGGGAGAGAAGTGCATTGCTATGGTCTCTTTGAAGCGATGCCTCCTGCCCCAATTCTCTCCCTGCAGTACCATGTGAGGGGCTGTTTAAGAGAGAAAAAGTTAAATCAGCAGGGGAAGAAATACTGGAAAAAACAAAGCCAGGAGTCCACAAAGCAACAGGCAAAACACTGAGGGACCTCTCTGAAATCATCAGCCAGACAAGCAAGGCTGAGAGACTTCAGGGCTTACTTGATTGCAATCCTGCCTCTACACCAGAGCAGGACTCGATTTGGTCAGCGGCCCTCGAAGCTGTGGCTTCCCTCGCAGGAGAGACACAAGAGTTCCTTGTGACCAGCTCTGGGCAGTGCCCAGGTAGAAGCGAAAGAAACCTCCAGCACGTTAAAGCACAGAAATTGTTCACACGCACAAGGGTGGCAGAGGCGGACGTGGAGGAAGGGTAGGGACGGGACCGCCTGTGCCAGACGTGGAAGGTGCCCAAATCACTGTCCAAGCTTACATCAGCCAAATATACCTGTTCTACCAGACATGCACACAGTGCCTCCCATCAGAAAAGCAGGCAGGTTTTCCCAAGCACGAATGCATGGAGCTATGCAATGCTGCACTATTGTTAAGTTGGCGCCTCAGCCCCATCTCACAGGCAGGAGAGACTAAGCAATTTACCCCGGAGTATAAAATGTAAGGAGCAAGGCTGAAAACAAGAGCTGCAGGACTCCTGCCTACCCCTTTCTTCAGCCCAGGCTTTGGCAAAGATCAACCTTCTCCCTATGGGCACTTGAACACCACCACAAAAAGTGGGATGAGACTGATTCTCATCTCAAGCGGATCGTAAGCAACCCAACACCCTATCCACCCAGGTACGAGCTCCCGCACAACTTCTGGATTAAAGTAAACAGTATCCACCCTGGAGCTGGATGCTTTAATGCCACGCTTCATAAGATTGGCTTAAAAAGGACAGTCCAATATGCGAGTGTGATGATCCACCAGACTGCTGACCACCTCCACACATGTGCAGCATACCCAGGATGAGGACCTGGCAAGCATCAACAATAAAGCAGTTGTGTGGCTCCACCACATTAATGATGCGTAGAGGGGGAAATGAAGTATACGAGAAGAAGAATCTTCTCCTTCCATCCATCCCTTTTTTCCAGGCCTGAAACAGTCCAAAAAGGCTGCAAGCTTTGTTAAAAGCATTGACCTTGAACAATGGGTTTTGCTGATTCTCAGCTGCAAACAACACTGGTTTGTTTCTTCTGCAGGTTTAATTGTACACATCTTAAGCAGCCAAAACCATACAGTACAATGTGACCATCTTTTCTGCATGGCAGAACAGAGTTTGGGGAAGTTTACCCATCCTACCAGCTAAGCAATACACATCTTAAGCACCTGCAACCAAACAGTATAATTCTTCTCTTTCCTCTACACACCAGTTCAGGAACAAAGTTTGGGGAAGTTTACTACCAGCTGGGCAGCTTTTGAAAGGGTCTTTTCCCACGTTAATTTGAGCAGCTAATATAAGAAATGGCAGAGACTGGTGCTTTGTACTTGTCAAAAAAAGGACCTGCAGAGATTGTCCCAATAACAAATCCCCTATAAAGGGAATATGTGGAGTATGGTGGTACAGAGCACAGCTGGAAGGAGTCAAAGCTCTGCTTGGACAGAAAGCAAAGACAGTTTGCAGTCCTTTTGAGAAGCAGCCATATTCCAAGCCACCTGAACCAGATTTCGGCTTATTGGGTGCTATTAAACCATGTTCCTTGGCTCTGATGCCTACTGCTAACCTCTCTGTAATGAGCCAGCTGAGCTCCAAGCAGCACGCAGTAGGCTGCTATGCCTCTATTCCTATTGCAATCAAGACACAGCCACCGGTGACCCCCCCGGTTTTTAGACGAACCAGCTCTGTTCCCAGCATTGCAAATGAACTTTCCCCGTTTAGAGACTGTGCGCGCTGCTCCACGCAGACAGCGCTTCTAGCAAGTCGGGGATACAGATTTCTCACAACTTTTTTGCAATCTCCGCCCTGAGGAATGCAGAGGAAGTAAAAGAAAAACCAGTGCAAGCACCATAAAGGGAGAAAAAAACCCGAGAAAGCATCAAATGGAGGGTCAACTGCAATTCGATGCCAGTAATTTCTTTTCTTGGGATTAGAAAAGGAATCCACTCGAGTTGAAAGCTGTTTAGTACACAACTGGGGGGGACGACAATAGCTCCACTCACCAAGGCAGGCTATTTTCAGTCAATATAGCTTCTGGCACAGTAAAGCCGCAACCCATTGCCAAATGGATCACTGCCAGACGAGTAAATTGAGAAACAAAACAGCTTCTAACAAAAGCTAAGCAAAATTTAAGGCTACTGTAGTGACTCTTAAGCCTTTTGTCCGCCTTGCGTGTTTTCTTGGGAATTTGTTTTTTGTTGCAGCTGCAAAATGAACGCATTCGAGAGAGTCAAAAAGCCAGGAAAGCGCGGCCAGGCTCTGGTTACTGTCTGAACAGACTGTGCAGCTTAGCCTGGAAAGCCAGGTTAGAGTCGGAGGACACACCTCGAAGACATGCTGCCAACAGACGTGTGGACAGGATGCAGCGCGTACATCCACAGTGACGTACGAGGAGTGATTTGTACCTTTCTGTGCATGCCAAGTTATGTGAGAGGGGTCATCTCTGCTCCGTTACTCCAAAAGTCTGGCTCCGAAAAGCTGCTGTAGAAAGGCCAAGAGGCCCCCTGAAGTACGGAGAATGAGAGACTCCTAATAACTGTTCCTGGAGGAGGGATCCTAAGCTGCGTGCGCCGCTGCAGGGGATAACAGCTCCCTATTCTAGAGGCCAAGCTTCCCCCTTCAGCGATAGGGTTACACTAGGAGTGGCCTTGATTAGCAAGGCAAATGAATAGGAGAAAGTAGGGCTAACCGTAACCCAATAGCACTGACGGGCCACTCTGAACTTCCCCCCCATAATCCCGGCTGCTCCTCCTTTTCCAACCTAAGTGCTTGCTAGCGTCCTGCCTCGACACTGGCTAGACAGGGGAGTTGCTACAGGCTTCAATGCAAAGTGAGATCAGACACTGGCAGGCTCCTTCCTCAGCCTTTATCACTGGGATGAATCTAATGAGTAGCTTTAGAGATGTTGGCTTCAAAGGCTGCAACCTGGTTCAAATGCCAAGACCAGGATTTGTGCAAGAGGCAATTATTTTCATGGTGCAACCTATTTGTCCAAACGAGATCAGGGCCTGGCTGCGCGCGCTTGTGCCGTGCTCCAAAGAAATCCTAATCTATATTGGCCAGACGGATAGGAAGAAAAACAGCAGTTCCCTACCATGGAACAGATGATGAACAGTGCCCCGGAGACAGCAAGTGGCTTGCTCAAAGCCACAAAGCGCCAAGTAAAGGAACCACTGCCTTCACCACAAGATCATTCTTCCGCTCTCATGGGACAAGGCTGCAGCTACAAGGAACAACCCATCCTCTTGCTCCCCAGGCGGACACAGCTCATTTAACACCAACACCCACCACCATCTTTGCTGCGTTACTGCAAAACACATTTTTTCCCCCTACTGAATCACAGGCTTGGGGGGGGTGGGGGTGGGGGGGTGGAGGGTTGGTTTGAATCAAAACTAAAACCAAGTTATGAGACCAAAGGAATGGAAAGCGCAGTTAAGAGAAAAAAAAAAAATCAGTATCCGAGTTCATTGTAATATTAATCATAGTTTCTGCCATTCACAGCCTTTCTATATACGAAATCACCTAGCTGACCCCTGCTTTCCTCATCAGAGCTAGGAAAGCACACACGCATGCAGAGATATGAAAGGAGTCTGCGGTGACAATTTGTTTCCTTTGAAACCTGACAGCTACAAAAGGTTTTTCCGACGTCCTGGTGCATGTCGCTGTTTTCTCCTTGAATAGACAGCCACCTTCAATCCATATAACTTCCTGAACCATTTAAGACCTGCACGTGGTGTGTAAGGGACAGGCCAGAATAAAAACCCGGTATCCACAGGAAAGATCCAGCAAAAGCAGTGACAGCACCTCCCATTTGACCCCAAAGCATTATAGATGCTTCTTCCAGGATCAGGTGTAACAGGATAATTCTGGGATGGGTTTGAACACTCAGCGTTCCACTGAGGATGCCAAAAGAGAGGTCGACTCACCACAACCGTGGTGGTGATGGTTTTGCAGTGTGGGCACCCACCCAACAAGAACAGGAGAGAAGCTGCATATTCCATTACAGCCCCTCCCAGCCATCCCCAGGTCCCCAGGGAGCTTTTCATTACCATTTTGCAATCGTGTTGGTCTAGCAATGAATCTGACTTCATGGTGCCTCTCCCCATGAGTAAGAGCTGGTCCGGCCAGTGACTTTATTTAGCCAGGGGACCTGCAGAAGCTCAGAAAGCCGAATACACAGCATGCAGCATTTAGGGAGAAGTGGGCAGATGCATGTGTGTATAGAAAGGCCAGCAGAAGATACCACCCTGAAAGAAAGAAACCTTTATTAAGGCCAGCGGCAGTCTTGTATTGATTCCTCTTATCATCTGTAGCCAAACACAAGAGGTTTCTATTCTCAGCAGAAGGCATCTGTTTACCATTCATTCGCTGCCTCTGCATCAGTGGGGGAAATTGCGCTCGAACGACAGGACATGCCTAAAACTGAACTCATCATACAGCAATTTTTAATAGCCTGCCTACAGATGGCATTTTGCAGATTGCAGGACTGTAACCTATGAGTGAAAGAAAGCACAAGTCCTATGGCCAATGGGCTTGGGGGGGACGAGAGCTATTCAGCACCACTCAATTCATCTCCAGTAGAGGAATGGGAGTCAAAGGCAGCAGATCTAGGGTTTACTCCCAGACTTCAATGTGACAACAAATAAATCACTTCCACCATTTCTTCCTCTGTAAAAAGGGCAGTACTCCCTCCCTCCCTCCAGAAGCATGAGAGGGAGGCTTCTTTTATTCATATTTATGGAGGCTTTTTGGATAACAGAATCACACTAAGAATTACTGGCCTATAAACTGTTTACTGCATCCCCCAAGCACACTGTGTGCTAAATCGATAAAGGAAGTCGCTAAAACAAAAACAACCCCAAAAACCAGCAAATGACACTTGGAACGTTTCAAGCTATTTCCTAAACATGCTCTATTTCTCTGTTTAAGAAACACTCACATTTGTCATACACCCACACACAGAGAATCCCACCTCCAGAGCACTTCATAAACACCAGCTAATGTATCCTACCATCATGCCACAGTACCAGGTATTATTGGCATGCAGATAAGAAAGCCAAGACCACCAAAAGCCTATCCCAGCTTTGTTGAAGTCAGTGGGAGTTCAGTTCTGGGCTCCATATCACTAGGTCTAGCTAGTATGTGGTTTTAACACCTAAGATTGCTGCTAAATTATGAGCAAAATACAGCTTTGAGAGTTGAAATGAGATCTTAACCCTATGCAAGAACATGCATGTCAAACACAATCTCCATATTACCACATTTTCTCATGTACACCATGCAACTGTCTCCCCAAAACCAGCCCCCCTAAATTGGGGTGTATTAAGCTGGGAAGCTGGATTTTTTTTTTTTGCCTGAAATAGAAGCTTTGATTCCAGCTCCACAGCACAGCAGCTCTGGTATCATCATTTAGGCAACTGAAGGAGTCCATAGCCCGTTATTCTTCATTTCACAGGTGTTAACAATCATCTCTTCTTTTTAACAGTCATTCCATTAATCAAGCTAACCTTCCAAGGGCAATTTTGCAGTGCACTAGGGCTTCTGATCTCTTCTCTTATTTCACAGCTCTTAAGCTCTTTTCAAAATCATAGGTCCACCCGTGGAGACCAGTCTTCATCTGCAGCTAGGTTTAGTTAAGCAGGAAAGGGAGGGGATGTCAGCTGAAGATTAGGCTTTGTCCCTGCTCTCTTCAGCCCTAATTCTGGAAAAAAAAATCTTCATAATGCCTATCTAATACCTAGATGTGTAATAGGCGAGAAAATACGGTAGCAAAATAGGTGCACAACGGCCATCTAGAGGCATGTACAGAGGCCAGGATGAATGAAATTTGTTTTCATGAGGCAGGATGGTTTCACTGATTACCAGGCCTGCAGGTAACAAGATCACTCGTATCAAGTGTTCATTTCCAAAACCTCAGTATATTTATTACAGGGACACTCAAATAGATCAGGTCTAAAATTTAGCCTACCTTAAAAATTTGTTCCCTCTAGAGGAACAACCTTCTGGTTATAGCCATACATTGGTGGTAGGAGCAAGAAAAATGTGGGAGTATGCTGAAAAGTTAAGATCAGGCTGTTAAAACCAGATGGGAATTTGTGCCTTGAGTATGGAGTTTTTTTATATTTCATTTTTAAAGGCTTTGGAGGAAACCACATGCTTATTATCACTATTCACCCGACTGCCCCCAGCCTCTCCTCACAAGTCCTGTCCCCTAGCCTCCAAACCATTTTCTTTGCCCTTTGCTGGACCTCTCTCTCCAATTTGTCTACATCCTTTCTATAGTGGGGGGCGCAAAACTGGACACAGGACTCCAGCTGTGGCCTCACCAGTGCTAACAGAGGAGAAGAATCACTTCCCTCAATCTGCTGCCAACGCCCCTACTAATGCAGTCCAGGATGACATTAGCCTTCTTTGCAACAAGGGCACACTGTTTACTCTTATTCAGCTTCTTGTCCACGGTCACCCCCAGGTCCTTTTCTGCTAGCTTGCATCTATTTTCATATAGCGTGTTTTTGGAGTGTTTACACATATTTGGAAGGGATGCAAGCTGCAATCTGCTGTCTTATATTATGAAGAAACAGTGCACAGAGATGAAATCTCCACAGGGGGAGGCGGATGCATTATTTGGTAACATTCAAAAGTCACTTGAGCAGATAACAGTGAACACTGGTTGCTTTCAGTGCCGACAGACAAAACAAAGCAGCTTTAAGCCTGTTTACATCCTCCTCTCAACTCTGCAGTTTGTTTCCCTGCTACAGAAAGAATCAAACCAACGTTATCTATCACGGATACAGAGTGCATCATCCCTGTAACGTGTTCAATTCTTTGCAGCTTGGAGCCTGTAAACAGCAGCACAGGCCAGCTGGCACGGCTGCACCTTGTTGCTGCACAATGTTAGTGTTAATAAAACTTAACCAAAAAAAAAAAAAAAAAGGTAATACCCCCCCCAGGGTAAAACTTACCAGCCTGCTCCAATGCTACCAGCATCGACTGCTCAATGAGATCGCGCTCAATGAAGCTCCGAAATTCCTCGTTGTAGATGGTGAGGTCCGGCAACTGGAAAGTGCAAATGGGCATCTCCAGCAAGTGTTCGCTGCTGCCATTGCTGGAGACATGGGAACGGGCCAAGGAGACAATGGTGGAGCTGGCGTGAGAAATCCCCCGGGACAGGCGTTTCTCTGAAACCCACAGGAAGGAAGAGGGGTGTGAGAGCTGCATTTCTTGACCCATGTGCCTCTACGAAGAAGCGCCAAACCTCACAACGGGACATGCCCATGATCACAACTGGGAGGGAAGGCATTGTAACAGGGTAGTAGTAGGCTTCATTTCTCTCCTGCTAAGCAAAACTCAGGATAGACTCAAGTGACCCAAATTCTACTCCCTCTGTCTCCAAATCCTTTTGTGACCCGAGGCACAAGACCCACAACCCACCACCTGGATAAAAGGTTTGATCAGCCACAGCAGTCCATGGTCTAGTTAATTAATATAACCAAAGTGCCTTAGAGGAAAGGCAAAAGCAAAGGAGCTGCAGTGAAGCAACTCTCCATTCACTGCAAGGAGAGCTGTCAAAGGCCTTGTTATCTGTTAGCGGCTGTTGGCATGACAGGCAGTGAATTCCAGCAGGGGAAGAGGTTCCAGCTTGAAGAATAAAAAATGTAAAGGCAGCAGCTTCCTCTCATCCCCGGATTTGGCTCTGATTCAAATGATGACCAGCGCCCCTGTAAAATCAGACTGTGTCTGCTCCTCTGCCTCACACCAAAAAGACATAGCCCAGCACAACCATGGGGAATGACGGCTTTGCAATACTTTTGCAGCTGCTGTGTTCTGGACTGTATCTGTGCTCAAAGAGTCTCCAAAGTAAATCAAAGAGCTTTTGATAACCTCTGCAAGGTTTGGGATGCAGCTCTGCATTCAGTACTGTACAACCCTCCTCTCTCTCTCTCTCAAGCTACTTTCCTCATAGGCCACAAAGGCCGACACTTGGAGCGGGTTAGCACAGAACTGGTTATGGCAGGGTGAGTGAGTGTGAGTGTGCCTGAGCCTATTTCTTTTCTAGCTACATGCCACCTCTCATCTCTAGCAGGAACCAGGTCAAGGGACCAAAAAACCCCATGACTTTTTTTTTTTAAAGCCATTTCTGATCTACCACATCACTAAGCATCATTAGGCTGGAAAATGCCCCAGAAATCCCACTCACCTTGCACAATGTCGTCCTGGCGCTGGAGCGGTGGCCGCATGGGCCGAGGGGCCTCCTTCTCCAGGGGTTTGTAGCTGCGCCCTTCGTTAAAGGAATGTGGCAGGTTCCCTGCGTGCACTTGCCTCAGCTGTTCAAAGTCGCTCAGTGCCGCGTTCATGTCCCAGTTTTTACCTTGGTTGGGAAGAATAATAAAGACAGTCACCATTTGAGGGAGGTGGAAATCAAGCCAGATGTGAAACATGGTGCCCTTGTAGAAGTCCTCCTTAAAAAACCAGAGCAATCAGCGATCAATCTCTTGGCCAATGATAACTCCAACCTGGAAAGGAACATCACCGAGTCTAAGCTCAACAATGCAAACTGAATATGCTCAGCACAGAAGACGGAGAAGGGATAAAAACCTGCTCTAATTTATTCCCTTTTGCACTTTGAAAGGCATCCATTTTTATCCGAGTTGGAGTGTTGCAACCGTGATGGCCCAGGAACTGTGTGAGAAGCAAGGACATCTGATGTCTGAAAACTTGCCTAATACTTCTCCTAACTGTACAGTTGGTCCTAAAAAAGATCATTGTTAAAAAAAACCAACCCTTACTTATGGCTTATTATCAGAATATAGCTGCACTGATCTTTATTCTTCCTTCACATTCACCAGCCACCCTGTAGCCACACCAGTTGGCCGTCTGATTGAGGTCATACTCAATATTGTTTTGTAAGCTGCTTCGACCGCATTAAAGAAATGTGTTACAATGCAAGCACCATTTGCTCCCTGACGGAACAAAGAGTAAACAGCTTTCCATATCACCCATGTTACTGGAGGGCAATACTAAAATTAAATGGTCCTTCATGGACAAATCCAATATATTTTTTTTTATTATATATATGTATTTCCATATAAATTTAATTTTCTTTTCTTTCTTTTTTTTTTTTTTTAAGGAAAGAGAAACTCCCATTTCACATCAGCAGACAAGCCCAAAAAGTGCAAAAGCATGTCAAGGTGCCTACCAAACAAATTAACAGTGTTTTATAGCAGAATCAGATGTATTATTATTTTAATACGCAGTGATGCACAACTGCATGTGTAGACTGGGGCTGAATGCTTCTGTAAAGCAGGACTGCTCAACTGGCAGCCGACGTGCACCCCTCTGAAAGGGTTAGCGTGCCACCCGTGGGCTCCTGTCCAGCCACCACTCCCCCTACCCCTGCCCCAGTGGCCAAGGGGGGCTAGAGCGCCCAAGCTACAAGCATAGCAAAAAAGAGAGCCAAGAGGGGTGCGATACCGGGCAGCCCGTGCTGTAACAGGGAGCTGGGGGGTCTGTGGCTCCAGCTGCCTGGAATTTAGGCAGCCTTGCTTTAAAGTAATTCCCCTTCACTTAAAGGCTAATCTTGAAAGCTGAAAGGATCTAATTTAGCAACAGCGACAACAACCCTGAAATATTAAACCATTTGAATCTCTTCCAGGGTGCAATAAACCTTTCAAAACTACTGCTGTTTGGGTGGCGAGTGACACTGGGGTGTAGGTGGAAATTGCGATGCTAAGGGTTTTTCAATCAACACCTTTTCTCGGGAATCTTCACATTGTGTTCATTTACTGCTTTCAAAGGCGGCAAACATATGGCGCATCCTCACGACCGGAAAAATACTTGAACCGCCAACTGGCTTAAGACAGATCACAGATAATCCAAGCATGTTTCAGTGTCTCAGTTCTGAAGGGAACTGTGTTTCTGAAGCATTTCAGTTCTTTTAATAGTGTTAATTGACGGCGTTTAGCCATCAGTTCTGCCTCGCAAATCTGTTCCACCACTGGTCCTCTTCGAGTCAAGCCCCTTTGGCTGGAAAGTTAAAACGATCCATCAGTTCAAGGCTTCCGTTTGCTATCGCGAATCAGTATTTGCCTCTTTCACAAGTGTTCGGGTCCAGCCGCTCCTCATGTGGTTTTAGCACTTTAAGTTACGAGGAAGTTGGAGCAACTGGGCCAGACGCTTGCAAAATATGCAGCTTCCAAATTGTGCTACTAGGCAATCTGCCTTCGCCGAGTGTGTTCATAGGATGATAAAGAGGTGAGATGGCAAGAAACTGTGCAAGGCTGAATTAGGGAAGAACTTCACTTATGAAGCTAATGGGCCAGACTGGGATCTTAGCCTTAGGTGGACTCAGCAATGAAGTACGTTAAATGCAAGAAGCAGGCAGAGGTGTGCAGTGAAACAGCTGCCCGAAATAGGAGCTACTGAGGCAGGGAATGAGATGGGACCCACTGGGGAGCAGAAGACTACTTATCCTCCAGGGGCACTGCATCCCCTAAGCTGCCCTGATGCTCACACGTGCCTGGAGAGACTCCACCCGGCAGAAGCAACCGAAGTGAAGTCCTTCAGAAGCTCGGAGAACTTTCTCCAGCACCGGCTGGATTTCTCAGCCAAGGGCTGATGGCCTGTTTGCTCCAGCCCTCTCCCTCGCCTCCCCGTTACTCCTTCCACATTCTTCATGCCTCCCTTCCCTTCGAGGTCCCTTTCCCCTTTACTTCTAGTCTCCATGATCACCACGCCTGCCCCCACAAAACAGCTCAATGGACACTTGCTGCCACTACGCTATTTGCCTGGTTTATCTCCCTCCAGGTCCTGTGTTGATCACATCTAAGATATTTGGGACACGGGCTGTTGGCTGCTGGTTGTACAGTACCAGGCACAACAGGACACCTTCCTAGTCCTCAGGTGTTACTATGATGAACTTAGCCCTAATGAAAACACAGCTGTTGTTCAGCCTTTCATTGCATTTAAGAATAATCCACTAACTATAAAAACTATTCAAGTTGCATGCAGCAATTCCTTGGCACAAGAACCCAAAACCCTGGCAGAAAGGGCATGAAGGCCTGTTTCTTCCAAAGGTACTGAACCACCTCCGTCTTCTTATAGCTTCCAGCACAAGTGGCAGGTACTGAGCACCTCTGATAAGCACATAAACCATGCATAAATGGCCTGAAGGGCAGACTCCAGCTCCATCCACCCCAAGGATGAAATAAAAAGCAGACTCTAGGGCCCTGTCCACAGATCTAAATATGCACCCTTAACCCAAGTCTTCCAGCTGATGTAAGCTGCCGGGTTAAAATATGCATCTCAGACTCTCTCCCCTTGGATAATTTGGGCTGCAAAGGGGTTTTATTCCTTATAGATCAATGCTGACACCTTAAAGCTACTATTATATTTCTACTACGAGCACTGTTAGTAACTAGAATGAGTATTATTTACTCACCTAACTACGTTGCTCCATTATCTATCCCATTACCCTGAACTGCCTGAAATAAAGGTTCATATTTTATATCCAAGTGAAACTGTGGTACATACTGAAGACGTTACATTAAAAGCACTGTTTGAAGCTAAGTATCCAGGCTGTAGCCGTATTGGGTCTAAAGGAAAAAAGCAATCAGGGCTCATGGTAGAGGTAAAATCGGTTGGTCTAATAAAAGATATCACCTCTACCATGAGCCCCAATTGCTGTTTGAAGCTAACGATTTTTAGAAATAATCTAAAACAAGGAAGCCACATAGAAGTTCCTTCAAGTATGTCTTCCGGGTGGGGGAGAAATTATGGAAATATTCTACACAACAGTTTTTAAACAGAAATTAAAATATCAAGAGAACTGACACGAGAGAGAAAAGAAATGTATGTATTGTCTGAGGTTTACCAAATTAAAACTCTGTCTGTTCTGCTTAAAAAAGTCACTTTGAGAACACCAAAACCTCAATGCTTTCATTCCCTGAATTAAACACAAGCGAGCAAAGGAAATGCCCATTTTAGATTCAGTGACAAATCAAGTTCAGGAAGGTGCTGTTTCAAAGTGATGTTGGAATTAGAGCTATAGGATGCAGTGAAAAATCTAGAGGAATTTAAAACTGCAGTACATCTCCACTACACATCTATCAAATCGGCAGCTGTTTGGATGTGATGGTCTTATTTGCAACCAATTTTAACGGAAGGACTGTCTGCTGTCCTATGTAGTCAGAGACAGATCCCTCTACAGTAGGTCTGCGCTCTTTGCTAAGACTTCCGCTGTTACCATCATGAATGTACACTGCTTAAAATCAAGACCTATTCAAGTTTAGGTAATTACTACTTTCTTTTAGAAACAAACTAGAAGTGCAGCCCAGTGAACTATTCATTCCTGTTATGGCAACAGTCCTGTTCCCCTACAGCCATGTGGACAAGTGTGGATTCTGCTCTTCCAAACTGTACTTCTCTCTTCCAAATTAAAACCTCCCCGAGGACCAATCCAAATTAGTTAACTGAAGCCGGCTTGTCCACTCCTAAAGAGGATCAACTACTCACCTTTTGCTTTAAACTCTTAACTGGTTCATTAAAAATATTCCAATGACAAGAAAAGTCTAAATGGGGAAAGAAAATTCGAGCCACTTCCGTGTTCCAGGTGAGCAAATGGACAAGACTTCACAGGTGCCATGTGACACTAAAATCATCTGAGCCCACACATGAAGCATTTGCAAACTGATAACAGAATATAATATGCTGTTTAATAGTTTTACAGCTTTTTCTACATCAGCAGTATGCCATTTGCCGCTTAATGTAAATAGTGTCCGTTGTACTGCAGACTCAAATTCTGTTATCAAATAAAGTTTTATCTTGTATTTAATTTATTGAACTAGATAAGAATAGAAAGGAGGTGAAGAAAAGTGCCAAAACCAACTTCAAGACAAAATCCTGAATGGTCTAGAAGAGAAAGTCATGTCCCCGGTCTTGCAAACTTAGATTAGCCGTAAAGTCTTCAAACTAATCTCAACATAATTCTGCCGTTCTGAATATAGACTCCTCCTCAATCAAGCATTACCATTAATGCCACTTTCATTTGTGTGCAATAAAACTGCTCAAATTAAATCAAAACCTTTGCTCGGACAATACTAAAGTAGTTTTGGCAGACATGTAAATAACTATAGTAAAAATCTAAATTTGCCAAGAAATTATCCTGTGGCAACGTGGGCTCCACTGTACAACTACTTGACTGGCTCCATTATAAAACTTAATGCATACATCTGTGAATGATAATGCAGGATTTAAGTAGAGCCTAAAGTAAATCTTCCCTTGAAAACAACACTCAATCATACTTGCTCTTAATAGCTCCTGCCCACATGTTTTTTAGAAGCAAATGGCAAAGTGAATTAATTTGGATTTCACGCTCGCAGACTGCCCTGATATATGAATAACCAGACTGAAAATAAGGGGCTATTCCAGCGGGAACAGCAGAGACAGGAGGGGAAAATTCACCTGGGATGAGTGAGATCTGTCAGCTATTTCCACAAACAATTTTGTTTCTGGATGTCACCAAAAGAAAAACTACTAGGGTGCATTTACTCTTACATTCTAGCTTGGATGCAAAAGACCTCAAAATTAAGCATGTGTAAATGTACTTGCTAGATATTCTGGTTTTTTTGCACTGAAACACTTATTCCTGAAATGTAAAATCCTTTCTTGTCAAAACAAACCATCTAGATTCTTATCCAGCTGCACAGCAGCTATAAAAACCTACAGGTAATCAAAACACAGAAGAGTGTATAATCAGAACCAGACTCAGCTTGCAATTCATGCGTTAATCTGAACACAGTGCGCACAAAGGTGGCATCGGTGTCACCCTGGGATGTCCTGTTTTGAGATAAGTGATACAGTGGCATTTTATATGACTGCTTTCTGAGCACAGCGGAAAGTCAATCCCCACCAAAAATATAACATCAGTATCTTGCCCGAAAGCACGTAGCTGAAAATGTTGTAGTAACACTGAGTAACTTTAGGAAATGCGTTATGAAAATTAGTCAGCGTGACAGTTGCCCAAATAAGTGACCACGCGCTGAAGAAATGGGCAGATGATGAAAAACTTCCTCTCCTGGTTTCATCTTGAGCTAAAAATACTCTTCTTTAGAAAGAAAAGATCAGAAATCCTTAAGTGAAAGGAAATATTCAATTAGAAATCAGAACTTAAATGCACCCAAACTGCAGATGCCAGGCCTCCCAGAGACAGCATCGTCTAGAAACACGGGGCAAAATCCTAGTCCCGTTAAAGTAAAGGGGATTTATTGCCATCACCCAAATCCTAGTCCCGTTAAAATAAAGGGGAGTTTTTGCCATCACCCAACATGACTTGAAGAGGAAGAGAGCTCCAAATCCTCAGAGCCTTAAGGAGCTTTACAGAAAGACTGGGGAGAAGAGATGGAGCAGCTTGCTAAGGACACATACCAGCAAACGTATCTATACCAACAAATTCATATCCTGTAATTTGTTATGGATGAAGCTCCAAAGTGGTGGCAGCCATGAAGAACCCAGTGCTGGCTGGGCACAGATGCGTTTAAAACTGTGGCTAGCCCTTCTATAGGCTGTCGTAAACGACCTGGCAGCTGATCTGCATTAGTGCTCCCATCTTTAGATACCAGAGGAGGACTGTAGGAAAGAAGGAATGGAAGGGACCTCGGGAGGTCATCTAGTCCAGCTTCCTGCTCAAGACAGGATCTTTCCCGACTAAATCCATCCCCATTAAGTGCTTATATCTAACCTGGTTTTTAAAAATGCCCAAAGATGGAGATTTCACAACTTCTATAGGTAACCTGTTCCAATGCTTAACCACCCTCATAGTCCAAATGTTCTTCCTAATCTACAACCTAAATTTCACCTGTTGCAGTCTGAGGTCATGGCTCCGATTCCTGTACCATCAGCCACAGAGAAAAAGACTCTCTTATAAACTGCCCTTCGGGTATTTGAAGATTTATCAAATCCCCTCTCCATCTTCTCTTCCCCAGGGAAGAAATAAATCACTTTCTCTCTTTCTGCCTTTCCTCATAACTCATGTTTCCTGGGCTTCCAATAATTTTTGTTGCTCTTCACTGGACTCTTTCAAATCTACCAAGCAGGTACTCTCAGGATAGAAAAAGTTATGGAGATCGCTTCAGAGTCAGGTTCAAGCTCACAGCTCCTGGCTCCCAGTCCCAAGGCGGAAGCCACCACACCCCACATATGAAAACAGGATGCGTGCGTACCTACAACAGGATAAAAAGGTCAGCTGGGGACTGCAATGTTAGTACAAAGCCAAATTCCCAACTCACAGAACAAGCCTGGTTCTAAAGTGAAGGCGGTCATGGCATGGACAACTCGGCAATGCCACACTGCACCAAATCTTGCCTTGTGCTAGACACTCATGCACTGTTGCCAGACACAGCTCTCCTGCTGTCACCATGGAGGATGAAAATGTCAGGGCTTTTGTCAGCATTTCCTTGCTCATGTGTAGCATCACCAAGCATTTTGGTAACACAGACCCACAGGCTATGTTTGTAAGTGTATTTACAGCTTGGGGGAAGGGGGTGGGGGGAAGCAGAAAAGTCAGTGCACCCTGCTCCTTCTTTTAATGGTAGGCTGAGGGCAGCGCAAGTTATTTGCAGGCTTTTATTCAATATATGAATTTAAGAACATGAGAACTGCCATTTACTGGGTACCCCTGTGACACAGGGTTAGAGAGAGGATGCAGAAAAGGAGAGCAAACTGGGTCTGACCAGGGTTTTCTTCCATTGTTCCTCTCTCACTTGCAGCCTCCAGCATTTTAGGCAGATGAAGAGCTACTCATAAACCAATTAAAAGCATGCAGTCTGGTAAAGAAAAATGCTCATGCCTTTCAGAGGTACAACAGGCAACTTCCCAGTGCTGCACCCATCTAGTCCCACAAATCAAAACGGCAGGGCCACATCTGCTCCCAACTAAGCCTATCTAAACGCAAGACTGCAGCTCTGCTTTCCAGCACATGGCAACCTTAACTTTATGGCACTGTAACAACAGCGTCAATAACTTGCTCGTCTTGGATCTGCATTTCCTTCACATTTGGATGGAGTCTCACAGAAAAACAGAACTGCTAACATCATGCGATTATACGTGGGACAGGGTCTACTCCAGGCACACTTTTCCAGTATAGGAACAGCAGGATGCTAGCACAACACAGCGCTCCTAGCACAGATGCAACTATACTGGCAAGGCATGATGAAACTACCCTTGCAAGCAGAACAAGCTATACCAGTAAAAGCACGGTTTTGCCTGAATAACTCTGTTCTCTCTAGATGATCTTGCTCACACAGGTAGGTTGATCATGGGTCATGCCTCTTCTTGCCCCTCAGCTACAGCATTGTGCCGATCACTGCCTCTAATGTGGGCACAGCCTTAAAAACCTACATTGAACTCTTGTGTTCCTGTAACTGAATTATTAGATATATAGAGCACGGCAAAAATAAGCCCTAAATTACTCCTATTTCTGTTTAATGCTCTGCTTACGTGATGAACACATTTATCAGTATTAGATGGCAGGCTAGTCTGAACCATCATGTATACATGAAGTCATTTTTAACAGCTAAAAGTGATTTGCATAAAGCAAATAGAGCAACCTGTGTAGCACAAATACCCTTAGGCCAGAACCAGATATTCAAAGTTAGCAGATAAATTGTTTTATTGACCAAAAAACCATAGGATTAATTTAATCAAAACTAAATGTTACAATTTTAATTGTGAAGGCTGGGACCTTGTCTGTCCAAAGCACAATGCAGCTTCCTGGCTGTGAGTTCATTGGTGAAAACTGCAGGGTTTTTAGAATAAAACTTGCCTAACCATTAGATGACAGAGGAAGTTAACTGGATGAGAAGTGCATCTGATGCTCAAAATTAAAAGATGGGAATTTAAAAGGTCAAGATTAGGATACAGTAACATGAGACAAGTCTGTGGCACTTAGCATATGTTAAAACAATGGCATTACTGGGATCAGAGTAATTTTATGCCCCACCCCAAGCATCGTGCCTGCTGCCATGTCAAACATGTATGGCAGGAAGTAAAACATTTGAAATGGGGTATAAAATTCCTACAATCCCAATCACCCCACTGATGAGCTGCCCCGAGCCTGATCTGTCAGAGGGTAGCTGCGTTCTAGACGAGACCTGGAGCTGTCCAGGCCAGGTCCCATAATCAGCTGACTGTCGACCCCAGCCCCAGCAATCCCAGGACCAGGTCAAGCAATTAACAGATTAATGTGCAATTAACACCTAAAATCATACCATAATTGTAATGTGTGCCAGGTACCTGCAAGTGATCAGTACAGAGGTAGAAAAGGAAGAAAAAAAACCCACATTCAATTTACTTCTCCCGACTGCAATCCCTTACAAGAAACATTGACACGTGGATTTTTACAGTACATTGAAACTTTTACTGAGCGCCTGATCTAAAATATACAGCCTCCAGGACAACGTGCTCAACTTCTAAACACCACTTCAGCTAAAAATTGATTTCCGATCCACTTTGGGATGCAACACGCCAGGAAAGATAGTTTATTGCTGCAGGCTGCACTTCTCTTTTAAGCATTCGACTCTCACCCCGGCAAACAGTTGAGCTCCATTACCTTAGTCACATGGAACGTAAAATCAAGCCAAGGTTTCACTATCTACATTGAAAAGGTCACAGCCTCAAAATGTGCAGTGTTACCATCACTAACAGCTTGCCCCTGGCAGACAACCATCTCCTCTCCCAAACTCTCCTCCCTGCCTACTTAAACCAAGAAGGAACCAAACGAATATCAAATGTTTCTATCCCAGCACTTATTACCTTCAAGTAAGTCTCTGGCCAGTCCTGGCTCTGCCCCCGTTGAGCGAACAAAATCCGAAAGGACGATGTCCATATCCAGGGTCATGTGATCGTGAATTCGTGGCAGGCAGTTGGAAGCAGGTGGAACATAGATCAAGGCTTAGTCTTCAATCTAAGAACAAAACAAACGTACATGGTTCATGTTACGAAGTATAAAACAATTAGCTTGGCAAGGCAGGCTGAGCAACCTGGGAATTAGCCAATAGCAGGGGCTTAACTCTCATTTCTTAAGCCAATTTTTGTTTCGGGATTTGGAGGAGACTTCCTGGCTGCCTGTTCACTCATTGAGAGAAAATATGAATTATGCTGCTATGCCCGTTCCCTAGCACACAACCTTATTTGCTGTGATACAATTAGATTCAGTGGCAGGAGCTGCTTGAGATACCAGAACGATTGAACTAAACCCAACTGAGGTGTTGTACAAGACCAGAAACAAAACAGCTGGAAGGCGCGATCCAACTGAGTACAGAGAACTGGCATTTCCACCCAACAGTCACAGAAAAGCCCGACCAGCTCCAGGGTTGCAGGGGTTACCCTTTATATCAAACTGAGTCAGACAAATAGTCAGCAGAATAAAGGAGTTTATTTCGCGGACAGCTGAAAGAAAGCTCCTCGTATCTGACTATCTGCACCAAGTATGCTCCATCCTTGACTTCTCTTCTGGAGACAGGCATTCCTCTTCAAACCATGTTTGTTATGCTCAAGAAGAAGAAAAACAAAGGAAGAATGAGAACAAAATGCCTTCGTTAGTGGATGTCATCTACACAAAACAAAAAACAACCTTTCAGGTTAAAAAGTTACCCTGCTTTCACACTGGAATAACTCGCCCCTCCAACTTGGCACGAGATAAAATATTCTTTTTCAACGTGCATTTTAAAAAGAAAAAAAGCACTTAAGGTGGAAAATAGCCAATGCACTACTGTAAAATTTAAGTGGAAGACTTTGTTAATTAGAAGGACCTTTCAAACCCACCTAATAAAGGCAGCATTGGCATAATTCAGTACAGCGGAAATATGAAATCAGCTTGGCAGACTTCATGATTTTCCACACAAGATCTCTTTCTGCCCATCAAATCACCACCGTCTTCAATGAAAGGCTTCTGAAAGAAGTTAGTACATGCACAAAACCCATCCCTTCCTCCTCTCCCCACAAATAAAAACCCTGTTCCAATGGCTTAAAAGTTATCTCCTTATAAACGTCAAATGCAAAAAACAATCGGTTCTAAAAACCTGAAGTCCAGAGGCAAGGTCTTAATAAATAAAGTTTAAGCAGGTCTGTAGATCTGAAGAGCCACGTATAGGTGTGTGCATTCAAATCCTGATCTACTACATTCCTGAAGGTAGAAATAAAAAAACTGCACCATCCACAGAAGTTTGGACTGAGCAAATACTTAGGCGAGATCAAACAGCGCTGTGTTTCAGAGGCTATTTTAAAAGCTGCTTTTTTCAGGGAAGAGTTTGGAAAAAAAAAAAAAAAATCATTCCAAGCTGGAGTGTGTTAACAAATTAGAAAGGAAGGCCATAACAGAGGCTATTCCATATCAGGAGAACAGAAGAGATTTTGAGTGCTCTCTAGGTGACTAACAAACCCGTTCACCTTCTCAGTGGCCTAAAAACTGCTCTTTCCTGGCCTGTTACTACAGATGGGCAAAAACTGCACGACGATATAAAGGCAGCAAATTAACATGGAATTTCCTGACTTTGTTGGTTTAAAGACTGTCAGACCGTTCCAGATACCTTCTAGCCTGGCGGATCACATGTACATTCACTTCACACACAGAAAAGCCACTTCTTTATCATTTGTGCAATCTTCCTTTGAAGGCTCTACTAATTTTACCAGATGCAAACGGAGGGTGAAGAGGTGACGGTTCTCTTACTGAGGATGGAGACCCTTGCTGTGGTTGGACAGAGATACAGATTAGACAGGGAAAATGCTCTAGCATATTAATTGTTGTGCATATGATCTTAGCATACAATCTAAAGCTTGTATTTGCTGTTTACCCAGCTCTTAAATGGGATCAGATGAGATTATCTTTGTTTGCAACAATTCATGTTTCCTTTAACAGTTTCAGCAATTTTTGTAAGCGTATATAGCAAAGCTAATGGTCTGCTACAGGGGGGGGGGAAGAGGGGGAAACAGCCTATACTAATTAACCGCTGGCATTTACAGCTACCTCGAAAACTCCCTCTTACACAAAAATGTCAATATTTCAACACTAATGAGCAACACAGATGGAAATCACTAATTCAGAAGATGCAATAATGAACTGCTGAAACGTATTTTAAGGGCTCCGAGGAGGACACATCTTCTCCCTCCTCTGTTTGGGTTTTATATTTGTAATACATCCACTTGTGTTTTTCCTGTTGCTATGGGGAAGATGAAAAAGGGAGGTTACTATCCTTTCATCAAGGCAGATGAGGTCTGGAAATGCTGCTGCGGATGGATGGACATGCCATCTATGCACCACTCTGGAGCCTGATATTTGTACAGTTATCCTAGACCCTCATCAAACTCCTATTTAGATTTTGATTTCAACTGCTTGCTGATTTTAAAACCCACCTCCCCCTTAAGGTATTTAGATGGTGATATAGGGGACAAGATTGTTTCAGTCACTGAATGCAAGTAGAGTTTCCTACTGGCAGTAAAAACAACCAACACTAAATCAAAGGTTAACTGAGGTCTCTTATTTATGATGCTTGCAGTGCTGGCAGTTGCTTGCAAGATGCATTAGGCACCAAGTCCCACGCTATGCTATCTGGATGCTTATTTATGGGACTGCATTTATAGATAGTCTGCAGGGGATTACTGTCATTGTTAAAAGTTTTGCAAAAGCTACACTGTGAAAATAAACTGTCCCAGTTCCCTTCAGCATCTCTCAGCTGTGCATTAATGCTTCAGAGAGGATCAGATCTTCTCTGGAAGTATCTGAGATATCACTTGCTCCACCCTTGGCTTGCCCCAGCGACTGAGCCCAGCCTTCACCGAAGTGAGATGAAATCCTTGTTTCCCTTTAAGACGTCCAAACATTAAGCAGATGGTTTCTGCCTCCTGAAGTTCCTCCCTGCAATGCCTAAGGGATGGAGATCAAAAGTCACGAAGGAGATCAAAAGTTAACCTGATTCACTCGCTGAGCTAATGCTGTGACTGCTTCCAATGAAAAGATTTCTGATCACACTCAAGATACAGAACAGAGGAGTTCCTAACAAGTCACAAAGTTTATCTGCAAACTCAGATTAATGGAACTGTTGGGTGCCTTCTGGAGCTAAAAGGAATCAAAACTCATGGCAGAGATGATATCTTTTATTAGAAGTAGATATTTGCAAGCTTTCGAGCATAGGCACCCTTCATCAGGCATAGGAGATTGCAAAGATTGTAAAAGTTCTCCTAGGTGGAAATGAAAATCCATATTTCTGGAGCTAATACATTCACACCTACTGGAGCCATTACTCTAATAAGCTGTTGTGCAACACCATGCTTTGTGTATTCTTTATTGCCCCCCCAATATTTCACCTTTTACAAAGGATGCCTCGTTTATGCTCCTTTCACTATAGAAAGTCCCCTTGCTGGGAGACCCAGTTACCAGAGTGTTATGCCTGGCGAGTGCCAGCTCCATTTAACCGCTTGTATACATGGCACAAATTGTATTGGTTTAACAAAAAAAAAAAAATCAGACCAACCTTCTGAGTGAAAGCTGCTGCAAACCCAGATGTGAACACAAATAGTTTAAAACTGGTTAGCTTGCACTTGGATTGTTATCACAGTGAGATCAAACAGCGTAGACCTGATTTACATCCAGTTAGGGTCGCTGGGGAGCCTCTGGTATTGGTTTAAATGAATCAGTTAGGAGAAAAAGCCATTCATACCTTTAATTACGCAGGTATTCAACTTGCATTGGTCATGGTCCTAAAGCTGAAAGTCCAATTTATGCCTCCAACACTGAAAGAGCTGCTTGTAAGCAAAAGTAAAATCTGCAGCAATGCGCTCCCTGGCTGCTGCTACTCAGTTACTTGCTACAAGAAAAGATCTTACTTTCTTCCTTCTGCCTTTCAAAAACAAGGTGCGTATTATAGCCTGGGTGCGTAATCTGTGACAAAATATGGTTGTCAGCCTCAGCATGACTAGAAAGATGATTTGACAGTGATAAAAGGAAAACTAATTTTGGTTTTCAATTCCTGTGAAATGCAGGACAGGAAACACAAATGCATCACAGACACAAAAGGGCACAGTGGGGTAAGGTGATGAGTATTGCTTCCCTGATCTCCGCATAGAATAAGCATGAAGGTCACCAAGAATTTATTAGGAGACTGTAATACAACTTAAGTACATGAGAGAGTATACAGGAGCTGGTACCTGCTTAGCTAGTCTGGTTTACATTTATATCCAAAGTTATGTCCGTACCACTATCCTAAAACTTTTGCCTGTATTACAGCTTCTGGTGTGTTGCCAGAGCTATGCAAAAGGGGCCTTAGCATGATGGAGGACCAGGCCAAAGAGTCAGTAAGCAAGTCTTGCCTAAACAAGGTTTGGGTTAGAATAGTCTAAGTTTGGTTCAAATGGAGCCCAGCATCAGCAAGAATCCATACCTGACCGCCCTGCGCAGACAGTCCAGGGAGTTTCATACACTAGGTGAGAAGTCCTTCTAATGTCTTCACAACCACCATTGTGATAGCCCTCCCATGTCTTCCCAACCTCCCGTATATCCTCCTAACAACTTGGCTAGAAGCGAGACTTTCTTCCCCACTCTTTTGGCACTGGAACAAGGCTCTCTGCCCAAAGGATCTCAGATAAGCGCTTGGGTAAAGTTATCAACGGTACATCACAATGGCACCTTGGGGGAAAATATTTGGAAATAGATGTCTGGGACCAGAGCCAAGCACTATTACAGACACCAGAGGTACATAGCCTATGGGCTTATCTTGGCACCAGACCAGGCAGATGCACCAGGTTCTTTCAGGTTGAGAAAGGCAGCAGTTCTGTCTGAAAACAGGACTGGCAACAACTTCCCAAGGCAGTGGTGCTGCTTGAGATTAAGACTTACAAATCCTGCAGATGTTCTTTTGCAAGATGCAATGTACTGATTTCTCCCCAGACGGTGGCCTTATTCATGAAAGATTTCATTCTCAACTGAACCCAGAAGGTTATCATCCATCATCTGGAAGCGTGCATTTAACACAGATTGCTAGAGACCATCTAGGCAGTAAATGGGCTCCGCTTGCTATAAAAGCACTTATATTTGAATGGCATAAGATATCTGACTATACACTTGAAGCAGCGAGAAGGTTTTTGCAGTGCTTGCTTATCCTCAGATGACATTATGCTGTCTGAAGTGATTTTACAGTGCAAGCCATCTGAAGCAGCAACTGATCTGTGGTGTCTTTCTACAGTTCATAGAATCAGAGAGAAGTAGGGTTGGAAGGGACTTCCATAGATCATCTAGTCCAACCCCCTACCTGAGGCAGGATCATCCTTAGCCAAACCCTGCTATACAAATCCATAGTCTAACCTCGTCATAACTCACAATTTGGATGCTACTCTGATAATAACGGCTGGCTCTTCAGATCTGTCATTGCTGTAAACCCAAACCCCATTTTCCAGTTTCTCAGAGAGAAAACAGTCTACAAACGTTTCTGCATACACTTGTGCTTCTTTATATTCAACTGCACTTTACCTCTTTTGCCATCAATATTTTAGCAAACAGATGAGTGCCTTGCAGTGATCAGACTAACAATTAAATGAAGAACCAAAAGCCAGGCAGTATGTGTGTTATGGGCTGTTACAGCCTCTGTTACTTTGGATCACTAGTCTGCATTGTTTTCACAAATTCCCAGCCTGGATCTTTCGCCCTCAAATGACTTCATTCAGATTTGCTGTACTCACTTTTTGTTCTTGACGTTAATTTGCAAGCGTATTAAAGGATCATGGTCAGTTGCATCTACTTCTGTGACTGCTCTGTTCTGTGTCCCAAGCGATGCGCTGCTTGCTGATAGCGCAGTTTTGCTGCCTGTGCTCAGTGAACCCTGGCGGCTGGGTCTCCACAAAAGGCAAGTTTGAGAACAACCACCTTACACACTTCTCTAATAAAAACGATGCAATGCTTCTTCACTGTTCATTAATACAAGTTATAAACACAGCGGGATCCCAAGAATGTGGTCGCACTCACCCAGCGTAAGAGGATGCAACTTTTGCACAAATGGCATTTTTTAAACGCCTTCATTTTCCTTCACCTTTTCTGTATTGCTGACAGTTTATGCCAGCAAGTCACCCCACCAGTTCAGGTACTCCACGACTGGTCTGACTGAATGCCATAAACGAAGGATTTTCCATTCCACTAGAGCAGGGACTTGCAGGGAAATGCTCTCCCCTAGAAGCAGAGAACAATGCCTTTAGGAAAGCAGCTTTCATCTTGGTCACCCTTCAGAACAGCAGCAGAGGGTTTACCTGGGCATTTCCCCCTGCTCCATTAGCCAAGTCCCGGCCGAGCACACGGTATGACAGATGCCAATCTTTTTGTACACAACCTTGGGATCCGACACAAAATGAACTTCACTAAGAAGTTCAGTTTCAAAACCCAGAACCTATCTAACACAGTGGAGCCCAACCTTTTTGGCAGGTGTGCCACAAATTAGCTTCACACCCTCCCTAAATGCCACTTTGATCCCCTTCCCCTGCCCAATCTGTTGCCCTGCTTTCTGCTCCATGCCTGAGCTGCTGCTCTGCTCTCTGGCTCTACCTGCCACTGTGCTGCCAGCTCCCTCCCTGATCTGCCATGTGCTACCTGTGCTACAGGATAGCCACGCCTGATTTAATACAA